GCTGTGGTGTCTGGGAAGGCCAGCACCTGGAAGTCACTGGAAGGGAAAATGCATCTGGGTCTCCTCAGAAGTCCTACTGCCCGAGCATCGTCACTACTTGACCTGTATATTTAAGCTTCCTGAAAAGCTGTTTTCTCAGGGGTTATTCTTATTTGACGAAATCAGCCCTCACTCCAGGAGAACTGGACATTTGTGAAAACCATAAGCAGAGCAGTTGCTGAGATGGCATTGCCAGATGGGGGTCTAACAAGATTATGGTGAAAAATCTTAAAGTGAAAAACCAGGGAAGAAGCTGTCCACTGGTGGCTTTGAAAAGTCCCAACATTATTCCTGCACATCCAGGTAGGGCCTGAGATGTCCCGAGGCTCTTATCCCTGGATGACATCAAAGCTCTGAACAACCCATATGGGAGAAAATATTTTCAAGTCAAATATCTGCTAAGGAAGTAATATCTAGAGCGTACAAAGCCAATAACCCCACGTTAAAATAGGCTGAAGACTTAAGTAGGCCTTCTCCAAGAAGGATGCATAATTGACTGATATGCTTATGAAAGATGCTCAGCAACATTAGCCATAGGAAATGGAAATCAAAACTGCACTTAGCTATCAATGCACCCCAGTAAGATGGCTGTAATTAAAAAAAAAAAAAAGACAGATAATAATAAGTAGTGGCAAGAATGTGCCTAAGTCGGAACTCTTGCGCATTGCTGACAGAAATTCAAAATGCTTCAGCCACTAAAACTACATTTGAGTAGTTCCTAAGAAAGTTTAAAATAGAGTTAGAATTAGCATATGACTCAACAATTCAGCAACTAGGTCTGTATCCAAAAGAATTGAAAACATATGTATGTCCACACACTTACTCATACACAAATGTTCAGAGCAACAACGTTCATAATAGTCAAAGAGTGGAAACAACCCAAATTCTGTCATCTGATGAACAAAGAAATAAAAACTACTGAAATGCCTATTTTTAAAGCATGAGTTTTGTGGTATGTGACTTACCTCTCAATAAAGCTGTTCTTAAAGAATAAAGTAGTGGTGTGGGCATCAAAATTCTGGACCATGTTATTTGGGGACATAAGATGAGAGAAATAGGAAATTATTTCAGTTTTATGCAATTCCTGTTTTTTTTAGGAGCATGATGTGGTTTTTGAGGAGCTAGGCCTACCAGAAGTGGTTAAGAGAAAAGTGGAAATTGTCCACCATTTTCTTAAGCCTGTAAGGAGAAAGAAAGGGGTGCCGTGAGGGAAAAGCAGGTGGGGTACCTAGATCCAGCAGCCACGTGCCAATGTGAGGGTGAGGTCGCCTTGGCTGATGGGTTTGCTGGGAAGCGAGTGCAGACCTGCCCACCCTTAGTCCCTCACTGCCTCCGGAGGAATGTGTCACTTTGTCCAGGAAATCTGTATGTCCAACTACATAGACCCTGCGGATATATTTTAATGGAATGTCCTGAAATTCTCGAAAAGCCCTAAGTTTTTGCATAGCCCCAACGAAGCTTTATTTAGAAATGCTTCATCCCACTCACTGGGCATTTGGGAGTGCGGAAACTTTTTCCATGCCAGATTCCCCTTGCTGTGTCAGAGGGCCATTTCCTGGATGAGCCTCCTCATGTGTATGTGAAATCCCACCCTCCTGCAGCCTGGCAAGGCCACTCTCTCTGCACCAGAGCCAGAACCGTATCAGTCTAGCATCACGTGGCTGCTTGGTAATGAAGTGGAGTCACTGATAATAAAGTAGGGACCAAATATCTCATGAGGACTGTCTTAAAGCTGTTTAAAGAAACCACTTGCCATATTCTAGCAAGATTAAAAATAAAACACTTAACCCCATTCGTTATTGTGTCCAAGGGAGTGAGCTCATGCTGCGGGTGCCTTGTTAGCGGTTCTGTCCTAAACAAGCTGCCCTGATCATCATCTGGTTTCAGCCAAATGAGGAGTATGTTTGTTTTGTTTGAAATGCCTTTTTAAGTGCAAGGCCCCCCACACCCTCACTGCTGCCCTGGGTGTTCTTCCTCGACTGGTCTGTCACTACAGCGTACCAGCTACAAAATCCTCCAGCATGGTCCTTGCCCGAAAGCCGGTCGCAAGCTAGCTGGGAGATGACAGGTCACTCTGTGGTTGTACAGACCAGATTTGGAAATCCTTACATCCTCTAAATGTCTTTTGCTGTAAAAAAAAAAAAAAAAAAAAAAAAAAAAGATCAGTTTTTAAAACCAGTGGTTATCAAGGGATACTGGGAGGGAGAAGCACCGAGGAATTCGAGGGCAGTGAGCCTGCTCTGTATGCTACTGTGACAGTGGATATGTGACACTGTGCACCTGTGCAGACCCACAGACGTACACCTCCAAGAGTGAACCCTGAGGTAAATGATGGTCTAGAGGTGATAACGATGTGCCCAGGTAGATGCGTCAGTTGTGGGAAGGAGTTCTGGAAAATCTCCTTGCCTTCCTCTCATTTTGCTGTGAACCTAAACTGCTCTACAAAAATAAAGTATATGAAAATAAATAAATATCATCCTTACCAAAAAATATCAGGCAAGAACTTTTTTTTATTCTTTCAAATTTTTAAAGATTTTTTTTAAAAAAATAATACTATTATTCAGAAGTGATAGTGTTTAATAAAATATCTTGTCTCTATTTAAAAAAAAAAAAAATTCAGAAGGGCTGCAGATGTGGCTCTGGTAGAGCACTTGCCTAGCATGTGCGAGGCCCGGGGCTCTGTACCCAGCACCACACACACACACACAAAAAAAAAAAGAATCAGAAAAGTATTCTGTGAACCAGGTACAAGTAATAACTGTTTTGATTGAACTGTAAAAACTCAATATTTTCATCTCCTTTAAAGGTCAGTAAATAAGCAAGATGATTTTATGTGTTCAAAGAAATTTATTATTAATTTTTGGCAAGGACCTCTCTCTCCCTGAGAGGGGGAGTTGGGGTAGGTGGCCAGCCAGAGAGCACTGGCAACCCCCAGAGGCAACCGGGGCCCTGGTTACCCACCCAGCACCCCACACGCTCAGTGACACTTGGGATGCGCCTCCCCTCTGTGACCAGGACCTTAGAACCTGGAAGGAAACAGGTGTCAATCAAATAGCCACAGAGATACATAAATTCAAATATGACAGATGCAACAAAGGAAACGCCTCAGGACACGGGGCCCGTGTCACAGGTTGTCATCTGATGTGGTCAACACGAGTTTAAAGTGGAAAAATGTCTTTCTAAAACCGATTTTAAAAAGAATGCCACAGGCCATTTAGTGAGCTGATGAAGATTCTTCTCGAGAACCTTGAACCTCAACATACACAGGCAGGATCGTAATTGTCACCATGAATGTTTCATGCTTCCATGAAGACATTGAGTAAGTGTGGTTGGGGACGAGATAGGCACACTCTGTGTGTCTTTCTGTCACAAAAGGAAGACAGCACAACAGAACCCCAGTGGCCCTGCTGCAGAAATAGGCTTCGAAGCCCCACAAGGGTGTGTGCAGAAAGCAGGAGCCAGGAATGGCAGAGTGTTGTTTCTGCCGCTCGTCACGTCCTTTTCTCTGCCTCTTGTCCTTAAGCTCTTCTGTCTTCAGCCACCAGCCTGCCTCCTGTGACAGTGTGGTCGATGTCAGAGCCTCTCTCTTGCAGCATCTCTCTCTCTCAGCATCTTCTCAAACCTTCAGCTCTCTGTGGTCAAAATGCTCCCAAGTCTTTACCTTTGGGCCTGGCCCTGTCCCAGCACTCAGTGTCCTGGACAAGCACCCCTGACCCATCCTGGCTCTAAGCTCTAAGGCCCAGCGGCCTTCCCCCTCAGGAGCCTCACCCTCCTGACAGCCTCAGGTGGACCTGCAACACCTTCTCCTTCTTTCTCTAGACCAGGGCCTTCCGACCTGAGTGTGTTTAGATCCCCTAGACGGTGCTCTGGATTCTGACTCAGTAGGCTAAGAAGTTCCAAATGATGCCCATCGCTGCTGCCACCACCAAGGACTGTTCATTGCCTCCCACCTGTCCATCACTGTGAAGTCACACTGATTCCCAAGGACCCCCTTTCCCTGTTAACTTACACCCAGACGGTATAGTGGGGGGTCCGCAATGCCTTGCCCACTCCGACCCAACCATCCTGTACCTACACCCAGGTGCAGCTTTTAAGAACACTGCAACACTGACTTCCTCCTCCCTTCACTTTCTTCAAGGCCTCTGCCTTCTTGGAGAACACAGTCAAGATTCCCCAGAGGCCCCCCATTACATAACCCCAGATTCCTGCCATCACTTCTTTCTCTTCCAACAGTGACTCTGCTTCACCAGACTGACATTCCTTTTACCAAAGACTCCATTTTATTTCCACTGCTTTTGTAATGGCGTAGAGTATCAGGGAACAGAGAACTGGGACCTGATCCCAAGCCTTCCGCCACCTAGGTGAGCCATGGTGGAGCTGTGCATCTATTCACGGGGCCTTGGAGTCTTCATCTTCACCATACCTGGTGATGGCAACACCTAAGTCCTCTCTATCTGGATTATCAGAGTGCCATGAAGATTGAGGAAAACATACATTTGACACAATAGCTGCCCACTGGTCCAAGATGTTTACAATAATATGTGCAAAATATTGTCTCTGTGATGCAGCCCAGGGCTGTGGCCTAATCCTGTAGAAAAGTTTCTCTGGTCAAAGTTAAAACATAAAACCCAAACTCATTGGCCATCCATTTGAGAAGACTGTTCTCAAATCAGCAAATGGTAATTGAGTTGGTAAGTGTTGGAAAGTCACATGTCATTCATTTTATTCTTAGTTAACTCAAGGCGACAGGCCCTGGCAGACCCAGGTTCTCGTCGTCAGTCTCAAAGAAGCCAAGATGTACACTTACCGTGTCAAAAGAAGGGTTGTCAGCATTTTCTCATGTTTGCTTATGAAAAGGTCTGAACTGGCAAAATAAAATTGCATTCTCTCCCTTTTTAAATTTAATTTTCTCTTTAGGAAAAAAAAAAAAGACTTAAAATAATTTTCCTTTATTTTCAAAGGCTTGCCTCCAATTCCATCAGCTTCCAGAACGGGCTTTGCAGAGTTCTCCATGAGGGAACGCATGAGGGAGAAACTGCAAGCTGCGAGGGTGAGCAATTGCATGAATATTCTCCTCCCTGCCCATTGCCATTTTGCAGGGTGTGTCCTGCCTGCTTTGGGTGCTCCCAACCATGCAGATCCCAATACCACTCCATTTATTTATCAAATTCTAAATGTTAATGTAGGATTTTCCATTGGCACTGATGAAGATTATGCATGACAATTGATGTCATTCTTCCAACCAGTCTCCCCTGCTCTAATCTCTTGAAGGCATATTACACGAGCTTATTGCTGGATGTTCTCTAGTGAGATGGTGACTGAGGTTTTCATTCCTCATGACATGTAGCAGTAATTTTCTGTTTTAACTTTTAGTCCAAAGCAGAAAGTGCGTTGCTGCAGGAAATTCCCACCCCACGACCCAGGCGCTTAAGAAGTCCCAAGGAGAGAGAATCGGAGACTGAATTTGGCACAGAGGTGAGAAGTGGACCATCTTACTTTGACATGTATCTTCTCTACTCTCTGGATCCATTTTCACTTCTGTAAAATAGGGATGATACCAGGACCTCAGGTATTGCTTTGTGGATTCATTGAGGTAATGTGTGTTCACAGAGTTTCTGATGGCTCCTGGCACATGATCTGCCCTCTCTATGTAAGTCTGCACCATCATCAGAAGCTATAGTCAGACAGAAAAAGGGAAAACCAGTTGGAATACCTTGGTCAGTAATCCAAGTTCACCAACACAAGCCACTGCTTAATCTCTTTGAATGCAAACCTCTGAGAACACATAAACATCAAATGGAAATAATACTGAACAACCTGGCCTCCACTAGATACGACCAAAATTTCTCTACCTGTGATCTTGGTCCACTGTCCAGGTGACCTAGGATGTGATCCTTTAACACACTCTACCTCTTGCCCAGCCAGCTTCATGGGAGATGCCTGCCTGTCATGAGTCCAATAGGCTCAGAACACAGCGAGCCACACCTGGACCTATAACAGCCTGACCTTGAGGAGTTCAGTGTGGGTGACAGGCACATTAGCAGCTACTGGAGGTACAGGGGGATTCAGTCCTCTGATGGGTGCCCTTGGAGCCCACCAAAATGGGATTGAGGAGGCAGCATTGGACTTATTTATGATCAGACATTACAGAAACTTTTCTTTATAAGCTGTTTGGAAATGATCTTCTATGCCATGGATAATTTACTGATCTATAGGATGAAATAACCCTTTTCATTTTAGGGTTTATTGAGCATAAAATTTTGTATTTTTTCAGTCTTGACCTTCAAGGATATTTGAAGTTCATAAGCATTTCATTTCTTTGGAATGATGAAATGCATCGGTGATCAGAAGAGAAGTTTTTGGAGGATTTATCCTCAATTTAGTTTGTCCTTAGCTTCTTGACTTTAATGGTTCATCCGTCTATCTTTTTTTTTTTTCTACTCATATAGCCTGGGAAAGAGATACAAAGCATTCAACAAAAAGATGATGCCCAAAGTTATTCAAGGGTCAAGTTCCGTGAGCAAAGAATCAAGTCTAAACCCCAGGTAAGAAATCCTGTCTGTTGAAACCACGCTTGTTTATTTGTGCTTTAAAAAATATTCAATAAGAGTTGGTCGTGTGCATTCCTGATTCCTACCCCATGGAGCATGCAAGAAAAGGAAAGAGAAGAGATTCCTACTTTCAGAAGTCCTAGAATCTAGCTGGAGAGATTCAAAACTGCCTCATTTGGGGAAGAGGGGGTGCATGGAAGGCAGGAAATATCAGTGATAAGACAATTTGTTCAGTCTGAAGTTGCACCACCTTTCATTATGGGGAAGAGAAGAGAGTACTAACAAAAGAGCCAAAACCAAAAAAAAGGTCATTTTTTTTAAGTTAACAAATTCTATATTTCTCATAATTAAGCGAAATTATCTCAGCATTGGCCTGTAGATCAATGAATCCAATTTTTGGTTCATTAATCATCTTTTCTAAAGCTTTTACTGCTGTAAATACTATATTTATGTGCTTACCGGGACGTAAATAATTGCTGACTCTTTAGAAAGTAACTAATTAGAGTTACTTACTTAAAAAAGGCTTCCAATTGCCTGTTGCACTTGTTAAAATTCATTACCAGTCATCTAGCACTTTCCACAGAGACAACAGTTAGGAAGCCTAAATGTGCCCGAGAGCATTAGCGTCAAGCTGGCTGTCAGCTAATTGTGTGGAACTCGTTTGGTACAAAGCATCTGAAGTTGCTCTTGCTCCCTGCTTTCCTTAGGCGCCCCCAGGTTTCCCTTCTGCAGAAGAGGCCTATAACTTCTTTACTTTCAACTTTGATCCTGAGCCAGAGGAATCAGAGGAAAAAACAAAAATGAAAGCCAGAGATGGAACTAGTCAAGAGGAGGAGGCAGGGGAGGAAGAGGAGCCACCTGTCCAGGGAGGAAGCAAAACGGTATTGAACATGATGGCCACGAGGAGGGGAAAGACTGCCGGGACAGACGAGGACGGGGATGGCCTAGTGAGGAGGAAAGTGGCCAGGCACCTGCCAGGGCCAGGTGGGAGAACTCACCTGTGGCCCAGTCAAGCTGTAGGCCTGCTGCTTAGTGAGTGGAGTTAGCTTCCCATGGCCTTTGCAGCTCTTGGGTGCACCCCACAATTTGAGTAGTGAGGGCCTTTGTTAACTCTTTCCCTCTTTCTCGTGTAGGGAAAAAAAAATGAGATAACATGGTTTACAGATTTCTCTTGCTAGACTCTGCACAGCGATTAGCATGCATTTCACATGCAAACTGCTGGTTAAAAGCAAAGGAAGCCGCACTTCCTCTCCCCACAACCTTACCAGTGAGCAGCTTTGTGTGTCCAATACCAGAACCAAGCTACAACCCAGATTCCATCATTGTGATGGGTATTTGTGAGACAAAAAGAAAACATACCACTTAAAAAGGGACAAGGTCGAGCTGGGGTTGTGGCTCAGTGGGAGAGTGCTTTCCTCAAATGCATGAGGTTCTGGGTTCAATCCTCAGTACCGCATGAAAATAAATAAACAAATAAAGGTATTGTGTCCATCTACAACTAAAATATGTATACATATATATGTGGACAAGGTCTTTTTTAAATTTAGTTTTTAACTGATAACATATAAGAATTGTATATATTAATGGGATCCCATTGGGCAAAGGTCTTAACTAAAACTTTCTCCATAGGAGATATACAGATGACCAATAGATAGGTGAAAAGATGTTCGACAACACTAAGCATTAGGAAAATGCAAACTAAAACTAAAACTAAAACCACTTCGTGCCCATCAGAGTGGCTGTTATTAAAAATATACAGGAATGAGTTTGAGTGAGGATGTGGGGAAACTGGACTCTTGGAGCCTGCTGGGGGCATAGAGAATAGTACAGCTACTATAAGCAGTATGTGACTCTTCAAATTTTAAACACAATTACCATATGATCCATGAGTTCTACTCTGAGGATATACCACAAAATTTTGAAAACGGGGACTTGAATAGAGATTTGGACACCAGTGTTCATAAAAGCCAAAAAGAGGAAGCAGCCCGAGTGCTCACTGACAGATAACCGGATGAGCCAATCGTGGCACAGAAATGCAATAGAAAGCCATTCAGCCTCCAAAAGGAAAGAGATTCTGACATCTGCTGCCACACAGATGTCCCTTAAAGACATTATGCTAAATGAAAGGAGACATTCAGAGAATGATGAATATTGTGTGATTCACTTCCATGAGATAACTAAAGTAATCAAGATCATAGAGACAGAAGCTAAAATAGTGGTTTCCATTGGTCTGGGGGAAGAAAGGAATGGGTGCTATTATTTAATGAGTATAGTTTCAGATTTCTGGAGATGGGTAGTGGGGTTGGTAGCACAACAATGTGAATGTGCTCAATGCTGCTGAGTTGTACCCTTAAAATCATTGAGATGGTAAATTTTATATTACATATATTTTGCCACATTCAAAATTGAAAATGGAAAACAGCCGAACATGCCAAAATTTGCATAGTTGGCTTATTTCTGTGCTTCACTTATAATCTTCTCCCTCAAAGCATGCTTCCCAGAAATGTATTTTCCTAGCTAGGTCTATGAAAGCTTAGGAACATTTCACTTTATTCTATAGTATTCATTTAACAAGTCAATATTCAGGTCACTCTGCCTTGGAATCTCTCATGATTGCAGCCCAGATGGTCGAGGCTGCAGACATTTGGAGGTGGCTGGGACTGGAGGATCTGTCTGCAAGGTGGCTTATGCATCTCTCCTTGGGGACCACCCCATAAAATTGCTTGAGTTCTCATGACCTGAGAGATGGCTTCCCCCAAAACAAGTGATCCAAGAGAGAGACTCAGAGGAAGGCATAGTGCCTTGGGGGACCCAGTCTCAGAAGTTCTATGCTGTCACTTCCACCACACTCTACTCCTTAGAGGCAAGTTCTGAAGGACAGTGTGGAAGTCCCCAAGGTTTAAAAGGTATTGTTCAAACATGGATGCCAGGTTTGCATTTTTAGAATAAGAGGAGAAATAGAAAGGATATAGGTGAAGAAAGAGAAGAAGGAGAAAAAGTTTGAAAAATAAACAAAATTTGCATACTTCAGTTAATACAGTCCCTGGGCTTAGAAATTGTACATGCCTGATTTTCTCTTGTCCTCATGAAGTCCTAAGATGTAAATTCTGTTAACATCCCCCACGTTAAGGCTGATAAAACTGAGGATCAGAAAGTTAAATAAGTTCCCCAGTCCCCCAGGCAGCAGGAGGTGAAGCTGGACTTCAGAGCCAAGCCATCCAAGCATAGCCTGTGACCCCAGCCCTAGGTCCATGCTGGCTGGAAGGTTAAATGCCACATGACTTATGTGGCCAAGTTCTTTACATAAACATCAAAAGGGAGGTCAGCTTTGTCGGGATTTTTGACTCTTCTGAGTCAGCACTCTCTGATTTTGACATATATATATATTAGTGAAAAAGAATCAGCAAAAACCCACTTGTTAAATATGAAAGGTCAACAATTCTGTGCTTTCATGAAACGCAAGAAAAGGTAAAGGTAATTTTGTTGCAAGACCTGTTAAGTTTGATAAGCTCAGTTATCAATAATTATTTTCCCTAAGTAAATTAAAAATCTTGGTCTGATTTTTTTCTTGTTAATTTTTAACATCTTGCAGGATGAGGAAGGGCTACTGAATGGTAAGGATGCCGAGGACTTCCTTTTGGGCTTAGATCACGTGGCCAATGATTTTGTGGCTGTCAGACCTGCAGATTATGAAAGTGTCCATGTTTGGCTGCAGAAGGAAAAAGAAATCCTCTTCATACCCAGTAGACTGACAGGTACTTCCTCTTTCCACTTTCCTGCTCAGCATGGATATCCTCTTTTTCCTTCAGGTGAAATATGGCTGATATATAAGGATGGTCTTGTTAAATATGAAAGGTCTAATCTGATTTCTAGCAGTCAAGAAAAAAATCTTAAACAAAAAAATGTAGACCATGAGAAAAAATCCACTAAAAAATAGTCATTCAGAGAATACAAAAGAAACAACAGGGAGCTGTGAGGGCCTCTTCATCAGATCAGTGGCCAGTTCTAGGGACCAAAAATATGTGAGGCCCTGAGATTCAGGCTGGGTGAGGTTTCTCGCCCTCAGGGGTGTGGCGGGGTTATGGAGTTGGCAACATCCAGTGAACCTGCATTATTACTCCAGGATTCCTTTGTAGCCTGGTCTTTTTGTTCTTTTCCTCTAAGAGTGCCCACGGGTCCTCCTGTTTACCAGCCCTAATAGTCCACACACGAGATGACAGAACACCTAAGTCCTATAATAGATGTTCTGTCATCTCTTGTGTGGACTTATTCAAACATATAAGTCGTATATTAGAGCCACCACATTAAAAATGACTTTGGCATTTATTTTGATTGTGAGCATTGAAGGAATAACATGAGTGAAGTGCCTAGTATTGTGTCTCACACATAGTAGGTCTTCAAAAATCTAACTCCTGTCTCTGCCACTTTACTATTGTTGAGAGCAGTGGCTTCCAAAGGAGAGTTTACTCACCACCACCCCCCCCCCCGGGGGGGTGTAGGAAGAGCACACCAAGACCCTGCTTATGTTTATTTATGGCCTCATCCTTTCTTAGATTAATTTTGGAGGCACCGCAGTGCATGTGTAATAATAAATAAGCAAACATATATTGGATGAGCAATTAAAAATGTTTGGATGGAAATTTTGGAGACCACTAGCTAGATTCATGATGAGCTGGTATCTGGCCTGTGAACGGAGGTGAAGCATTAGCTTGCCCCGTATTTTCTGAGGAGGAGAGATGGGTTTTTCTAGGCACACTGGTGTTAGTTGGTGGATATGCAGGAATGCAGTGGCCTGTCGCGACCCCTCGCCGGCAAGGGAAAACACGACACAGGATTCTTCTTTCAGCAGTTTATTCAGGCCTTGATTCAAGTATCATCTTCTAGTGACCCCCCCATCGAGCGCCCAAGCATAGCCTAATAAAGCCTCCCGCATACCAATCTTAAGTTGCCACGCCACGTGGATCTTTCTCATAGGGTGATAAGGGATTATGCGCCAACTTTCCATAAAAGGAGTTGTTTATCACAGGCCACAGTGGAAGCCGGCGCCATCTTCTAATGGCGGCCACGATCTATAACAATGGCTTACCACAGTTCCCCCTTCTATTTTATATAACAATGCAGGCGAAAGTAGAGGTCCTATCCTACTGTGCAGAAGTGGCTGCAATGTATGGTTCAGTCCTAAGGAGGCGCCTTCCCCAGACCTGATCCCATATCAGCCGACGCCTTTTTTCGTAGGGCGGGGCGTGGACGTCAAACCCGCATGCAATAGGACATGCTTTCCTTGAGGTCCGTTGAGGGATCACTCAAGTGCAGTGCTTTGCCTCGCATCCTGCATCGTGACGACGGCGAGAAGTAGGATAACACAGGTAGCCTGGTAATAATGACAAAATTTAAGTTGGCAACACAATCCCTAAGCCCCAGAGGAAGGTAAAGAGTCTGTAGCAGAGAAGAAGTACCAGTCCTGAAACCCATCTGCGTGCAATGGTAACAAGACCTGCAGAGTGCAAGGGCTATTCAGCACTGGGAGAGAATAAGGAAGAGGGCATGCCAATCCCAGTGCAATGTGAAACTAACTTGGGGTGCAATGGCCATGCCCTGAAATCACTGTTTAAGATGTGCAAGCCAGATTTGTGGAGAAATGCCATTTTCCAAGGCCGCAAGAGCCTGTACGATCATAGCCTTCTCTTGCGCATGGCGAGTTTTAAGGCGACAGAGAAGCCACAAACAAAGCACAACACCGAAGCAACACATAGCGCCAAAAATGCCCACTCCCACCCATTCCTTAAAGAAGGAAAAAGCAGAGGATAGCCAACTGGTGAATTGACCCAAAGTCACTGGTTCGACACGGGTACTGTTCAAAACAGCAATCTGAGTTAGTTGAGACTGGATCAAGTTTTCTGCTTCCATGGACCAGGTTCCGGATAGATACTCCCCGATGATGCAGGAGGCATTTCTGGAATCATTAAATCTGACAGAGGTTATACATAAATGTGCACGTTGATCAACACAACCTAAATGTACTAGATCAAATAACTCCTCAACTTGAGCTTGAAGCAGATCTATCCTTTGATTAGCAGCCAGAATCCCAGATAAAATGTGTTGATTAATTCTACTTTGAGATTCAAGTATGGTGGATGTTTGTTGAATAACCTGATTAATAGTGGCAGCAGTTTGTACCTGGCTGGCCATGGCTACTCCAGCTGTAACTGCTGCAGCAGCAGATACCGCCACAGCTGTCACTATAGCTGCCGTTATTCCAAAATCTCTACGGGCTCTAATCAGTTCAACAATAGGAAAAGATTCTGGATCTGCAGTAACCGGGATCGGGACAAAGGTTGGAATTTTCATAATCACTGCCATAGTCCAGGAGCCATTCCAACACTCAGACAAATAGCAGGTAACATTAGAACAATTAAGCATCCCCTGTGATGTATCATTAGCCAAAAGAAACAGGAACGGAGATTGGAGACAGACTGCTGCGGAGGGTAACGTAGCATTACTTAATTGTGAACTACGTGAAAAATTTCCGAGTCTCCTACCTCGTTCCGAGTCTTGGGTACTGCCAGAAACATAAAACAGCCAACTTTGGACTCCTCGTAATTGAGCCAAAGCGGAGATATCAGCTGTGGCTCCCTTTTCATTGGAAATCAACCATTGAAACCAGGACCAACCTGTTCCTACAGAGGAAGCATTGCTGGAAGAATTATACAAATATCTTTTGAGAGAGGGGGAAAGAGAGAAACCTTTAGCGACCTGATGTTTCTCCCAAGAATGATCTTGGCAAGGCGTGAATATTGGGGGGAAGCCATACTCAGGGGTGCAAAAAGGAGAAGCCTTAAAATGAGTGGCATTAGAGGTCTCATTAGAAGGAGCCAACGGAATTAGCGCCTGGGAAGTAATGGCCAAAGTGGTTATATTAAGCCCAGAAGTATTTGTCACTTCTCCTGAGCCCTGGTCTTTCCCTGAGCTAATTTGTAGGAGCACTGCACCCAAAACACTTTCCGGCAACAGGGCTGGATTTATGTGATAATTGAAGGACAGCAGCAGCAAGGCCTGCATTAGTTAACGGCCCACCTATTTCCCTACAGACTTTCATCCAGGCCTCTATGCCTTTGTTTTTATAAGGAGTAATAGCTGCTTTACATTCTTTAGTACATTGCTCAAAGACAAGTTGTTTAATCAAGGGCATTGCTCTATCAGGGTCACCAAAGATTTTTCCTGCGGCGTCCACCATCCTAGCAACAAAGTCTGAGAAAGGTTCTGTGGGGCCTTGTATAATTTTTGTCAAATTGCCAGACACTTCTCCTCTATTTGGAAGGGATTTCCATGCACGGATACAAATGTTATTAATCTGTTCATATACCTCAGCGGGGTATCCTGTTTGTTGATTAGCAAACCTGCCTTGTCCCAAAAGCATATCCTTATCCCAGGCAGGGCGTCCCGCTGCATGATTTTGGGCAGCTTGCTCTACTGCACCCTCTAACATAAATGCTCTCCAATTCAAGTATTTCCCTGGGGAAACACAAGCGCGGACTAGACTAGCCCAATCTGAAGGAGTCATGCAAAATCTAGTAAGTCCCTCCACCTGAGTGAGAGTGAAAGCGGCATCTATGCCATAAGTGCGGACAGATTCTGCCAAGGTTTTAATTATCTTAAAGTCTAAAGGCTCATGATATCTTCCCCTGTTATTGTCCTGAAATACAGGGTATGCAAGTCCCATATCTGTATTAACTGTCCTCCAAACTTGTGCATGAAAAGATCTCCCGGAACCTTGGCTCCCCCCCACATACGGAGGTGGGGCACTCGGCACCATATCTTCTTCTAGATATTCTACCTCCTCCTCCTCAGAGTTTTGTTGACCGATATTAGCTCCCTTCCCCTTCTTACAGTAGGCCTGCGTGCCCTGTGTCTCCTTTTTCTTCTTTTTCATTTTTATCTTACGTAGTTGTTGTAACAATATATCAAGGTCCTCAGAACTCTCTGAGTCGCTTGTGTTCTCAGGCGTTTTTAATTCGGTCAAGTCTGGGTAGAGCCTTCTCCTATTTTTATCTTCAGGCTCTTTTGCCTTCTCACTACTGTCACTTTTGATACTCTTTGCCACTTCACTATGTGATCCTTCAGATTTTTCCTCATGTAGTTGCTCAAGAACAGCTTGACCCTCACTCACAGCTTCTTGGCATTTACCATCTGTTATACATCCTCTAACTAACTTCCAAAGTGGTATAACACCACCCTCTAAGGTGCCTTGCTCACGAGCGAAATCTAAATCTTTCCCTAATTTGTCCCAGCTAGGAATCGTAAGACTCCCTGAAAAGGCAAACCAAGGAGCCGCTATATCAGCTTCTCTTAAAAACATCTGCAAAGTGCTCTGCTTTATCTTAAGTCCTTTTGAACGTAGCAACCCATCTAGGGCCAACAAAATTGGGCTTGAAGAGGTAACGCCCATAATGTTTTCAGAGCTATAAAGAAAGTGAAAGTACAAAAGCCCCGCTCTCTCTTTGTTTACAGAGGAGCGTCCCGCTATTTGCTTGCGGATTCCCACTTACCTGGGAACTTACCGGTGCACCACCCTGACTGCTGAAAGTTCTGGATCCTGGGTTCGAGGAATATTCTTCCCCGTACGGGCCACCAAGTGACGCGACTCCTCGCCGGCAAGGGAAAACACGACACAGGATTCTTCTTTCAGCAGTTTATTCAGGCCTTGATTCAAGTATCATCTTCTAGTGACCCCCCCACCGAGCGCCCAAGCATAGCCTAATAAAGCCTCCCGCATACCAATCTTAAGCCGCCACGTGGATCTTTCTCATAGGGTGATAAGGGATTACACACCAACTCTCCATAAAAGGAGTTGTTTATCACAGGCCACAGTGGAAGCCGGCACCATCTTCTAATGGCGGCCACGATCTATAACAATGGCTTACCACAGTGGCCAAGTGGCCACCTAGCACCGTTGGGTATTGCTGTGGCTCAGAGTGAGATAATGACAACACAGATAACAAGTTCACAGTAACCATGAATTCTGAAGTGACATCCTGACCCATACAGGCCACCCTCTCCCAACTTCTCCGTCTCTTCTGGTCCACTCGGCCACAACAGACCCAGTGGTCTGGTTGGAATCATTGATCTGCTTGAGTGCCTCCCCAGCACAGAGCCCCAGACCCTCTCTGTACCCGAAAGCTCCCCTTGCTTGCTCCCTGGTCTGCTCACTACCCCAGAATGTTCTGGAAGATTCTGCTTCCCCAGCATGCCCAGTCTTAAGTGCAGTCATGCATTGCAGAACAATGGGGACACGTTCTGAGAAATGCATGCCCGGGTGAGTCTGTGACTGTGCGCACAACACAGGATGCTCTTAGGCAGACCTGCCTGCCCCGCTGCACAGATAGGCTCTGTGTTGGAGCCTGAGGCTTCCAGGCTAGCACCCCACCATGTGTTACTGTCCTGAGAACTGTAGGCAAGTGACACCTGATGGTAGGGACCTCAGTTCTGTTATGACCCTATGGGATGGCCATCACACACGCAGCGTGCCATTGATGGGACCGTCCCTGCGTGGAGCATGGCTGTAAACACTCTGCCCTCGATGGATTCGCTCTCCTGCCCCATCACCAGTTCCTTCCTTCTCAACCTGCAGGTGCCATTGTATCTCCAGTCACCTCCAGTGAACCCCTCCCCTCCCTAAATCACTGTCACCTCTGCATTTTCTGCATCTCACATCACTCTCTGGCATGACCCTGTGTGCGCCTTAATTTCTTGATGTTGCACATGGCTCGTCTTAGGACCTAAGTGGGGTTACAGGGCAGGGCCTGGCTTACAGTGTAAAGCCTGGAGAGTGCTGGGCATGAGGAGGCTCTCAGGGAGGATTTGTTTTATGAATGAAGAAAGAATGAACAAATCCATGAGGGAACGGTCACATTTACTCAATGAGACCTCCCCCACCCCCCCCCACCCCCAGTGCTGGAAATCAAACCCAGGGCCTTGCAAATGCTAGGCAAGCACAGCAACTGAGCTACACCCCAGCCCTCAGAGAAGCTTCTACGTTCACAGAGCATGCCCTCATACTTTATGTAATTCTGCCAAGAACACAGTGAAGTAAAAACTATTATCTGTTGTACAGAAGGAACAGCTTGAAGAAATGGCTGGCCTGGATTCACTAGGTTGAAGGGTACTAGAGCTAAAACATGTCCCTGGGCCCTCTGATGTGAATATTTCATGATGATTCTTCTCCGTAGGCCACACTGCAGAGTCAGGTCCTGAATTTTTTATGTGCTGTCCACACATTCATCTTTTCCTTGGTTATGCTTCTGGAAATTAATCTGGTGAATCTGCAGTTCCCAAGAACATGAATGAAATCTCTGGTGATTGTTTAGATTCACCAAGCAGGGTTTGAAATGTTCAGGCTGACACTAACCTTTATCTATTTGTGGACTCTCTAGTGCCGACCTATAAAAAGCTTCCTGAGAATGTGCAGCCCAGATTCCTTGAAGACGAAGGCCTTTACATTGGGGCAAGACCAGAGGTGGCACCCACCAATCGGAACATCATGGAGAACAGACTGCTGGTGCAGGAGCCTGTGAGTGTGGGCCTGCTCTCCTGGGATCCTGGGGTACTGGACACCTCTGTGTCCAATACTGTCCTTTTCTTTTGGGTTTGTGTACTGAAGGTGATTCATTCATTTTTGTGGTGTGTGTGTGTGTGTGTGTGTGTGTGTGTTTAACTTATCTTACGAACATTTCATGATCCTCAAACAACACAACCTCTCAGCTACTCAAAACCCAGCCTCCTCCAGCCGAATCTGAGCTTTCTGCTAATCAGATGCTGGCAACCTTTCCCTGTTCACAGAATTTTTAGTGTCCATAGGCAGACTGGTCTCAATTTCAAGTTTGTCTTCTATAGTTGTTTCCCCATTAAATATTTAATGAACAGAACATAAATTTTTTTCTCAAGTATTTAAGCTTTTTCTTAAACTTTCTCGGGGACAGGGGTAGTCAGGGAATTTTAGGGAGTGGTAGTGAAGTCTCAATTTCCAGTGGAAACAAACTCTTAAAGTCCTACTGGGGTAGGATGAAGTACGTGAAATATGAATGTCAACACAGAATTTCCCTAAAATTGTTTATTTTGTTAACCATTTTCTATCCAAAGAGAAACAATTTTGGTCCCTCTGTCTGCTCGATCGCAGGGAAGGAGGTGGTTCGGAGATGACGGCAGAATCCTAGCTCTGCCAAGCCCCATCAGGCCGTTTCCCTCCAGGCCGCTGCTGTCAACTCAGGAGCAAAGCACCAAGGCAGAGCTGGAGACCTTGTATAGAAAGGTACCTCCCCTCTTTCCCCCTCTCTCCCCGTCCAGTCCACATGAAGATGAAACAGAAGGCCTTGCTTATTGGAGAGCTTGGGGTGCTGAATTTTTAACTTCCACTTTGATTTTTTTTTTTTTTTAATTAATTCCTAAGGAGCATGAAGAACAAACAGCAGGTAAATACCTTGTCCCTTCTAGTCCCTTCATATACAAAGATTGAGTTTCCTATCCAGGAATACTCCTTCAGCATCTTTATTTGCATATTCAGAGTAGCCACCCTAATTTCTATTTTTTGTCTTTTGACCCTCTCTTTTCTCTTCAGTTATCACACATACACTGCAGGATAATTTCCCACTCGTTATCTTTTTATGATCTAACTGGAGATTTGCTACACCTGTAAATCCTTTTTATTGTATTGTACTAGGCTCTGTACCAAACTGCCCAATTTGAGTCTTCCCTGTACTACTTCTTGGATGAGTTTGGTCCTCAATCTCTCTGTGCCTCAATTTCTTCATCTATGAAATAGACACAGAAATAATGTCTCCCTCCTAGGACTACTGCGCAGATTGAATGAGATAATACACATGCATTGGTCTGTTTCATATTGCTGATAACAAAATACTTGCAGGTTAGAACTTTATGAAGAAAAGAAGTTTATTTAGCTCACAGTTCTGGGGCAGGGCATCAGTATCTGCTTGGCTCTACTGAGGGCTTTATGGTGGAAGGCATCGCGGTGGCAGGAGTCAGAGAGAAAGCCCAAAACAGCTGAACTTGCTTTGTAACAATGCATCCTCTTGAGAACTAGTTCACTCCAGGAGGCTAGTATTAACCTCTTCTGAGGACAGTGCCATACCACCTAACCACCTTAAAATTTTCTCTACCATAAGAGGACCAAGCCTCCTGAATCTTTCGGGGTGGGGGGAGAGGGCAGATGAACCATTTCCAAACATGGCAGCATCTGAGTACTTAAAACAGAGCTTAGTAAGGGTTGGCTGTGATCAATGGGCTTGTCCCCTCTCCTTGTTAACTATGGCTCTTGCTTTGCTGGGACCGCTTCCTTCAGAAACTCTCATTAATTTGAATTCGAAATATTTCAGCCCTGATAAAACAGTGTGAGGGGGTATAATGATCCTTCTGTGAAGTGCGGTGAAGAGCAGAGAAGACAGTTTCAGCTCAGAGAATCTGGGCAGTGGCATGCCGTCTCACTGCTCTGGGGCTCTGGGCAGGTCCCTGTCCCTCCCTGGACTTGTCACTTTAATTGAAAAGTAAGAATAATCATGATTTTCTCTGCCTCCTCGAGTCAGTGTCAGGGTTGAGATGATATATGGATGTGCCTCTTTTAAAAATTAGAAGTTTCTATAAAACGTTGTTATCAGAGACAAGTACTAATGAATGGCTACTTTGTAAAGAAATATGATCCTGGGAGCAGATTTGCAAAACAAGCACAAACCTGAGCTCAGCCCATGAGGGATTCATCATCTATTTGGTTACATGACAAAGACACATGATATAATTAGTGATCGAGACAGTAAGAACTTAGGCATGGATCAGCCTTCAGCCCATCTTTTCATTCGTCCATCCATTTCAGCATGAAACACTGATATCATGAAGCTCTAAATCGTGGGTTAAAATTAGAAAACAGGAGAATAATTAACATGGAGAGTAGGGCATGAGGGAGCCCAATTAATCTTATCTGTCCCCTTTAGAAGTTCTAAACTAATTTGGAAATGCACTGGAGTCAGGGATCAGGTTATCAGTTGTCCTATGGGTAAGTCTAGCTGGCAGAACACCACCTGGACCCAAGACCAGGCAGCTGCCTAGTCCACCTACCATGAACGACGTTCCCCACCTAGACATAGCTGGGCCTAGACATACGCTGAGCTCCTACGTGGAGTGCCAAAGAAATTATGGAGATCTCCTGGAGACAGCTAAGACAGTCCAGCCAGAGACCGCAGCTTCACCTTGCTCAGCCCAAAACCTAGAACCAGGATCTTGGGCTCCAGCCAACTACCTTTCAGATCCATTCCTCCTTTCCCTTTGGGAAGCAGCCAGTGGGGAGTGGGAAACTGAATAGAAAAGGACAGTATTTACTTCCAGTGCTTTTTTTTTTTTAATTGACAGACAACATCATGTTTTGAAATTATTAGTGGTGACCAATTAATGAATACATTACTTCATAGTTATCATTTTTCATAGTAACATATAACATCTACTTTCTTTGTGCATTTTTCAAGAATAGTCATCATTAACTATAGCTACCATGGTGTATAATAAATCAATTTATTTCTCCTATATAACTGTAATTATGTATTTTCTGACCAACATCTTCCTGTCCCTCTGTCCCCCTCTAAGCATCACATCACTATTCATAGTACCCAAGTTAAAGAAACAACCTCATTGTCTATGGGTAGATGAATAGATAAAGAAAATGTGATATATATGCACAGTGGATGTGTTACTGCCATTACTGTAACAAAATACTTGAGATAATCAACTTAAAAATAGGACAAAGTTTTGAGTCACAGTTTTGGAGGTTTCATTTCACTGCCAATTGATCCTGTACTTTACAGCCTGTGATGACACAGCACAAGTGGTGGAGGAAACTGTTCACCTTTTGGCCACCAGTAAACAAAAAGAGAGAAAGGAGGGTCCAGGGTCCCAATATCCCCTTCAAGGAGACCACCTTCATAGACCTTTTTTCCTTCCGTAGGCCCCACCTCCTAAAGGTTCTACCACCTCCTGGTGGCACCATGGGCTGGTGAATCAAGCCTTTAACATATGACAATGAAGGCACGTTCAGTGGAATACTATTCAGGAGTAAAAAAAAGAATAAAATCCTCCCATTTGCCACAGCATGGATGAACCTGGAAGACATCTTGCTAAATGAAATAAGCTAGCCACAGAAAGACAAATACAGAGTGATCTCATAAGCAGGATCTCCAACTATCTACCCCTCCCAATGTTTTTGAGAGGGTAGATCTTCCTACCTGTTGGGTAAGAATGGGGAAGTAGAGAAAGAAAATCATTCCACTGAAAGGGGCTTGTCCTACTGCCTCACAGAGCAAAAGAAATTAGAGAAAGGAAAAGTCCGAGGCTGATGTCTTCCCAGGGCATTGCTTAGAGGGGTGGGGCTGGGGAATGAGGCCATCTGAAGGTCTTAAGGTGTCCATGACAGAGGCCCAGGGGTTTCAATTAAATGGAAGAGACAGTTTACCTGTTTGTTTTTTTCTGTAACAGGTTACCCATTAAGTTAATCATCGACTTGTCCATCCCCGTCTTTTTTATATGATTATGTAACCTTCCAGGTATTCAAAGCACAACGTTTTTCTTTCAGAATTAATAGTTTTGCAGTTTATTTATTTACTTATTTTAACCTTTTCCTCCATTCATTCAGGTCTGTCTGATGCCAAAAGCTGTTTTTCCATTGTTCTGTGCAACATGCTATATGTCCTGTATTTTCAGTCTCAGGTCCAAACAGACCTTCCATCTAGGAGTTTTTGACATGATGTAGAAGCAGAGACAAAGATGGACAGGTAGAGGCCATTTGTTTCATGGATGGCTCATCCATCTTTCTCTCCCAGCCCCTCTGCCCGAGAGTGACTCAGGGGGCAGGTGTGAATTCCATTCTCCTTGTGAATCCTTGTGAACTTGGTAGGGTGCCCAGCACGCAGAAATAGCTTAGTGCAAATGAAAACCAAATACCTTTAAAGTGATTTAACTAAGTGTATTTAGAAGAAATACCTTGTTTTCAACTCCTCTTAACTCAGTTTTCTCTTCTAGCAAAGAGTAGCTTTTTTTTTTTTTTTTTTTTTTTTTTTTTAGGACTTGGCTTAGTTCTGTTATCCAAATGATAGAAAACCAAGTCTGATCTAGATCAGGAGTCAGTGATTCCTTTGTCCCCGGGTGCCTTATGTCTCGGAGCTCTCAGGTCTGATGCCAACTCCACCCAACAGGACTCACAGAAACCGTCCCTCAATTAAAGGCAAGCCTACTTCTTATTTGGTTAGATGCACTAGACCCAAAATCTGAATGATGGATTGTTTGTCCTCCCAGAAGATAAGTTAGGAGTTTTTTTTAGAAGGCAGTTGTTATGGCCACTCGTGGGTGGCACACACCTGTAATTCCAGCTACTTGGGAAGCTGAGGCAGGGCGAATCTCAAAATCAAGTCCAGCCTCAGCAATAAAATGAGACCTTGTCTCAAGAGTAAGAGTTCAATCCCCAGTACCTTGGGGGTGGGGGGGGGTGTTCATTCATTCTTGATATTATGAACATTTTCTTAATGACAGAAAGCATCGTTTTTAAAAGTGAAATACTCTGCTATTCCTAAATTGAGAAGAGATGCTTAAAGATAGAGAAGTTCATACAGAGAAAAAAAAAGGCAAATTTAAAATTAGAAAGGATGTGATTATCACATTCTAAGAGGCAACTAATCCAAAAATTAAAATGCCAAATGTAGCCTGGCACGGTGACACACTCCTGTAATCCCAGTGGCTTAGGAGGCTGAGATAGGAAGATTGCAAGTTCAAAGCCATCCTCAGCAACTTTAGAGGCCCTAAGCAACTCAGAGAGACCCTGTCACTACATAAAAATATGAAAAGGGCTGGGGTTGTGGTTCAGTGGTTTAAGTACCTGTGGGTTCAATCTGCAGTGCCAAACTACTACTAATACTAATAATAGTAATAATAATAAAGCCAAATTGGACATTGCTCGCTCTCTCTCTCTCTCTGTCTCTCTGTCTCTCTCTCTCTCTCTCTCTGTTTGGTTCTCCTTGAATGCCGATGGGCCTCATTCTCTCCTAGTTCAAGCAGGCTACTCTTCCATCTTCCATAAACCTTGATGGCCTAGCTTAACAACTGCAACGGAAAAGAATCAAAGAATTGAATTTTCCCACATTTCATTTTCAATACCAAGGACAGTTGTTAGTAAATCATGTACCCAACTAAACTCGTGTTCAAAGAAACATGGCATTTCTCTAGAAGAATGAAATGAGAAAGCTCCCGCAGGGAAACTCAGAATAGTTTCAGAACCCGCTACAGGATGCAGACTGAACTTGGGCCTTGTTCCTACTATTTTCCTAGGATAAATGTAGAAACACATTTTAATACCAGCCATGATTACTATTTTTCTATGTAACTTTAAATCGTTTTATCCAATGATATGAATCTTGGAACATTCTGAGAATATCAATAGATAATCCATACATATTACCTCTTATAGTTTTGGTTTTCAGTTTCCAATTGAAGACTGAAGAATGAAGTCAAGTTCACAATGAAATCTACTTTATAAATACTATCTGTTCTTGAGAGAGCTAGTTGCTACTGTTTTCAGGATATATGAGAGGAGAAAACAGACACAACAACAACACAAAAAGAACTAGGAGTCTTTCTCCCTAATAGGAATAGTGTTGGGGTGTTTTGAGCAGCTGAGCTCCATGGCTACTGGGAGTCCTGGAAGCCTTTTATATTCAATTGAGCTGAGCTTAAGGCCAAGAGCATCAGCAATGATTGGAACATGAGCTACTGCAGATTTGAGGAAGGAGATTCAAGGTGGCACAGGTGGCATTCCAATTAAATAGAAGCCGTCTACCAATGTTGCTTATTCACCTCAAGAAGAGTACAAGAAGGAACCTGAGAGCCAAATCCTATGATCTTATGACTCTGGAACTCCAGAGAAGGAGGAAAAGCTAGGCTAGAACCAGCAGGTACAGAGCAACCTACAAAGAAGCAACTGACGTGTAGTCATCCATGTCTTTCTGAAGTAGTAATTCTTTAATTTTCCAGGTCATCTGCATGGTCATCAGACATGCAGTGGCCTCAGGTGGGTTAGAAACTTCTGACAGCAGCACAGGTTATAACTGAGAACTTTTACCTGAATGAGAGAGAGAAGAAAGGGGCCTCACTGATGTCATCTCAAGTGTAAGGACACTGACGAGCAGAGCTTACCTCTGAAAGGCACAAGGGGCTCGCCTAAGATATGAAAGATGAGGGGGAGATGACCCAGGAGGGGTGACTTCTCCTGTACATCAAGTGGACTTGCTTGGGAGAAAGTGTCGCTATGATTTCGTGATAGTTCTCAATGTCTAACAAAGGAGGACAAATGCCACAAAAAGACAAGGAACTGGGTCTTGCTCTCCAACAGGAAGAGAGTTGGCGTCTTCTGAGCAGTCTAGTCCTGAGATAATCCATTCTCGTTCAAGCCTACAATGTTTGTGAACACATCGGTTTTTTACAAAGATACTTTTTAAATTAGAAAGTTATAAAAATTTCTCATCAATAACATCAGAGTGAATGTTATTTTACAGCAGAAAACAATATTTCACTAATATAAATGTAGGACACACTGTATGTGAATCCTGTAAGAAATCATAAATCCTAAAGATATATTAATAGCCTACTAATCTAGAAACAAGTATGAAATCAAATGGATAAAATGAAATAAACTCAAATGTTCTTCCTTGTGATGACCAGCACAAAACAGGCAGCAACACAACAAAGCCAGGAGCTTACTGCTAAACAGACTCATATAGATCTACTTTACTGTAAATGCAAATATTGGCAACTATTCTGATGACTAGTAGTAACTGAAAATCAGATCACACTATAAAATAAATGAGCATACTTTTCTACAATATGCACACACACGAACCTCCCCTTTTCTGTTCCACTGATAGGCAATTATATTGATATCTTATAATCATAGGACTCAAATGCTAGAATCTCTTCTTCTGGGTTCCCATACCTCTTCTGCACATCTGTTCAACTCCCAGGGCTTTCTTCCCCCTCTAAATGGATTGTTGTTTGAAGATGAACCCCAATCAACTTGCAAGCCCCATTAATCTTGAATAAATGAAATGACATATGGAAAGTGCTTTATGTGAGGTCTAGTGACCCACTGTATGCTACCTGAGTCCTTTTTCTCAGCATCCCATTTCTGTAGATGAAGATATAGAGGCCTAGGGAACACATTGCATGAGGTCCCAGAGCAGTCTATCCAGGGCTAGAATCCAAGATTTTTGGCCCAAATCCAGCATCAAGACATGATACCTCCAGAATAATTAAATGAAGAGATGACAGATCCTGTTATAGACTGAAGGATTAAAGTTTCAGTTCCAACTAGAGATTTTACAACTTCTATTTAACCATATAACTTGTAAATAAAGCACTTATCCACCTAAGCTTCTATTATCATTTTTCAGACAACTCAAACAGCTTCCAAAGCTCATGTCTACAAAAGGGAAGAATTGAGTGATTTGTCTCAAACCACCCCATCCTGATATAGTCAGTGTCTATAAGCAGGAGAGAAAATGAACACACAACATCAAAGAGGTCTCTCCTCCACCTTTAAGCTCCCCACCTCAACCACCAGTGGGTGATTGATGTAGGGTATTTTGAAGATTTTATGAAAGAAAAACAAAGATTTATCTGTTACACTCTACACCAAATAATCCAAGAAATTTTCACCGGGAATTGCCATTTCTTTTCTTTTTTTTTTTTTTTTACATTCCTGGTTTACCCCTTTTCCTCTGTTATTTTAAATGCTGACTCATCCCTTCCCAGGAAAACTGGGTGCCAGCATGAACTGCCCTAAGAAAATGGGAGTCTCTTGCTGCTGTGTACAAAACCAAGATTTCTCCACATGTTTTAAAATTTTAGTTATGAGGGAGTATATTTATGATCCAAATAATGACCAGTTTGGACTAGAATCTATTCTTCTCACATTTAAAGAATTTCAAGGGCACCATCTACAAAACCCCAGATTTCAAGAAACGGGATTAGAGTTGACTGAGAATAAGAAGTCTGAAAGAAGGAAGTGGTTTCTTTTCTGGGTCCTAGTCTCTTGTTTGCCTTTTTCAAGTATTCTGAGAAGAGCAGGACCCTAAATAGGTGACAAGCATGTCCCACTTGACTTGAGGGGGCAGGAGGTGCTTGGCACCTGACTGCTTCCCCTGGAGGATGAGACCATCATTACCCAGTAAGAGCTTTAGCCGTGTCCCACCCACTCCCTGTTTTCTTTGGCAGGCAGTGAAATACGTCCACAGCAGTAAGCACATGGTCGGATCTGGAGACCCTCCTGGAAATTTCCAACTGGACATTGACATCTCAGGGCTACTCTTTACTCATCACCCCTGTTTTAGCCGAGAGCACGTTTTGGCAGCCAAGCTGGCCCAGTTATATGACCAGTACCTTGCAAGACAGCAGAGAAACAAGGCAAAATTTCTTACAGATAAGGTACATTTGCTCTCCATGCTTATTGTTCTTGGGGAAAATTCTTCTGATGGGCTCAAACAATTAAAACAAAACAAAAAAACTTACTCTGTCTGGGGCATGTGACACATTGTTCTGCCCAGAGGCAAAGGATAGGTATCGATGGTGTAACTTAGTAAATGCAGACTCAGTGGCACACACACACACCTTTAAGTGGTATGGCAAGAAATGACATCAGATGGAAGACATTTGGCTATTACTTGCCAAAATGATCTCAGTTCCTGAGACCAATGGTGACTCAAAAATCTGTCTTTAGAGACAGTCCCATATTTATATATAGTTGACATAGTGTTGCACCTAAACAAGCCAGCTGCTCCAACGGATGCTCAATCCACTATTGGATTTATCTCCAATGTAACACTATCACATGAGATTTTCATGGGTAATTGGACTACAGGCACTTTCAATTTCATGCCCTGATTTTAAATCTTACTGCTCAAATAAGAGTAATCTATAATACCTCCTGTTATAGGTCTATAATGTTATGATTTCTTCATATCACAAGAACCCCATTGTGAGTCCAAGACCCACTGTCAGCTTTGAAAATAAACTGGTTTCTGGTACACTCTCATAAAAGTAGTATTTCTCATGAGCAGCTTAATTATTGGAGCCACAGACCAGGATAGACAAACACTATGTCTTATTATTGCAGATTTTTAAGAACAGATGGAATAATTCTCCATCAAAGTTCATTTTGGTGAAAGTCTGGAGACAGCTGGGTACTTGTACATCCTTTCACCAATGTTCACACCACTTTGTCCAGGAGAGCTGGGTGGGTCCAGTCACACTGTGTGCAATAGGGATAGAGTTTCTAATACAAAGCTTGTATCCATATCTTTTTAAGCTCCAAGCTCTAAGAAATGCTGTTCAGGCCAGCCTTAGTCCAGAAACACCTCAGCAGTCTCTGGATACAAACCAAAAAACCATCAAAGAATATAAGCATGAAATTCAGTAAGTAAAGTTTATAATTGCAACTATTGCTTTTTTTTCTGTTAAATATATACTTGTCTATTTTTCTGAATAGCTTTCCTGAATACATATGAAATTTTGCCAAATGAAATAATGAGATGCATCATTGTATTAACACAAAATTTGAAGTCCAATAATATGAAGGAAGATGTGGGGAAATGGTAACTCTCATTCTCTGTAGATAAAAGCAAAAATTCCTACAATAGCACAGCCACAGATTAGTAAAAACTGTTGTAGGTGTCCCTCAGTGGGGACCCACCAAATTTGATTCAGATGTGTGCATCTAAGGAGTCACATATGCATGTGCACATGGTGACATCTGCAAAGATGTGCAGAGTGTCACTTATAAAGTAAGAAAATGGAAATAAAGCAATCCTGTAGGAACACACATTGGTCTATAGTAGATGTCTATACTACAGTTAAGATAACTGAATTAGATATGCACATACTAATGTGGATAAAATGGAAAACAATGTTGAATAAAAAAATCAGGTGTCCAAGGATGCTCACAGTATGCCATGACTCGCCAAGCCTAAAGAACACTTGGCCCAGTTCCCATTTGTTGTAGGCACCCATGAGTATAGTACATCCAGAAGGGACACATGCCGGTTTCCTCTTCCAGGGAGGGAAGGATGAAAATGGAATGAATGGGGTCTTCAAATGTAGCTATAGCATTTCATCTAAAAAAAATTTTGAGTCAAGGAGACAACAACATGTCAATAGATGTTATATTATTTATTGTCTGCACTTTTCTGTTTCTTCAAATTATTCATAGTTTAAAAATACAAAAAGTAAAACCCTGATCATTTATATTTTATATTCTACATATAAAATGCAGATAAAATATAAAATGCTAACATCATCTAAAGTCCCTTTTCCTGGGGGAAATCCTGGTTAGCACTTTTTTTGCCAATTCTCTGTACTGATGTTGTTACGTATATGTATTTTAGTTTTAAAGCAGTATTGCATGTGACATTCTACCGCTTGCTTTTTATGTGCAATGAATCTTAGAACTTTCCCTCTTAGAATATGTCTAAGACTCTATCGTTCAGAGGTGGGCAGATGTGGATTAACATGGTTTATGCAATCCCAAATTGACAGGCATTATTCCTATTTTTTATTATTTAAATTGCACTATAATGAAAATTCCTCTGAGTATTTGCGTGTGAGTATTTCCTCAGAACAAATCCTTAAAATAGGAAATAATCAAGGAGTTCCAGTGTATCTTTTGCTTTTTGTGATCTAGCCATGAGCTAGAAATTCTTCCAGCAAAGCAGAAATTAATTCGGTTTGTATACTATAATTGGAGAACATAAAGGGTACATTTAAAAATGAAAAATTTTTATCTGTTTTTACAGTGCTAGGGATGGAATTTCTCAGGGCCTCACACATGTTAGGCAAATGCTCTACCTCTGAGTGACATCCCCAGCCTAAAAAATGAAAATTAATTTTTTATGTTAAAAGAAAACATTACAGCCCTTACGTGAGAATAATTTTCGGTTTGCTCAAATTGGGTAAGAAAAAAGTGACATCAAGTTGTTTTTAAACCAATCATTATTTATATGAAGTTATATTTACTCATTTTTATTTAAAAACGAACAGACCTGTGTTAGGCAAAGCCTGGTGGACTCACTGATCGCAAACCCTTTGCTATAGTTCTGTGGCCCCTGGAGATGAAAACCTCTGAGGGTTAGCATTTATGACCCAGAGAGAGAGGGATTTCAGTCCTTTGCTGACTTTTCATTCTATGGTAAAACAAATTCTGATCTGTCCCTGGATGTTTCTGTTAGTGGGCCCATTTCCTTAAGACCCTGCAATCTGCTGATCAGAGCCCCCGGAGCTCCCCACCCAAGCACCGGCTGAGCCCTCTGTTGGTCCTGTTAACCTGGGCAGCACCTCTTTAGTTTTCTATTTTATTTTTCATAGCAGCATCATGACCGTGGTTCTTGTCCTCTAAACTGGAACCAGGATATTCAAGGAAAGATGCTCACATACTACAGGGAAAACACTTTAAGTCTCTTCACTGAGACTTCATCTGAGATGTGCACACTCTTGAACAAATTAAAATTCTATAATCCCAGGTTCCCATCCAGCTACCACTTTGTATCAGCACTTTCCTGCACAGCCAAACTTCTGGAAAGCATTTATTATCTGCAATGTCAGCCCCTCTCCCCTCTGACCAAGGCTCCCCGACTCCTGTGCCCCATGGCCCCTAGGTCATCTGCAGCCCTCTCAGTTCTTGGGCCTGGACACCGTCCCCACACTTTGCCCATTAAGGCGCTCTCTTCCCTCTCCTGAAGGCCTTGTTCCTCTCAGCCAGCTGCCTTCTCTCCATCCTTTGCCTGATCTTCCTTCTCTACCAGAGCATAGGTGTTCAGAGTTCCCAGGTGTGTCTGTTTTCCTTTTAACCTTTTAAAAATCTGCATTCTCTCCTAGATGAATGCACTTTAAGTCAAGCAAAAATATGGGACATTTCATTTTATTTCATTTCATGGTTTTCAAAAATCACATAGATATCAATGGGTCCCAAACCCTTGTCTCTGAGCTGGGCATCCTTCCAAACTCCAGACCTTCTGTATCAGGTTGCAAAAAATCAACCCCTGCCTCCCTACCCAGATTTCTTCCCCTCTTCCTCCACAGCACTGGCCACAATTTTTAATTTAATATTTTCTGGGGATTCTTTGCTCCCTTAGCTCACGTGTCAATTTTTTTCTGAGTTCTTTTTAATGTTTCTCAGAAATTATTTTTTAGGAACTAATAAAGGAGGTAGAAAAATATTTTTAATTTTTTTTTTTAATTATCAGAAAGCCTAAGGGGGTTCTGTAACTTGGTAAAGTCATTTTATGTTACAGTTTTGAAAAATAAGGCAGAGAAAGTAGCAGCTGAAGGCCAAAGAGAGGAATAGCATTTGTGCACCACGTACCTAGGGCTGAAGCTGGGTTCTAGCACAGGGTGCAAGAGCTCTTCTACTCCTCCAAAGCCCCGGGAGGTGGGCTCCTTTAGGGCGCCTGTTCTATAGACCAGCATGGAGAAGCGAAACAGCTTGCCCAAGGTCGGCTAGTAATGGACAAAGCCAGCACTCAGGCCTGGGTGGTCTGCTTCAACAGCTGCACCCCTCACCACTGTGCCTGACGGTCCTCAAAGAGAATGTATCTTCTACTTTGTCGCTGTTCTGCTTTTCTTGGCTCTTCAGAGAGTGCTGATCTTGGCTATCCCACCACTAGCTGACTATCATCTTTTGCCATCTTCCTTTTCTGCTGCCTCCAGTTGAACCATGGGAAACCCAGGCCTCCTTGCTCCTCTGAGGCTGAGTCATCACAGACTTGAGCTCCCAGGCTTAGGCCTCCCTTGGGTCTGCCATGCTCCCTCTGGTCCTCGTGACAATCCCTCAGACAAACTCACGTCCTGTCACCATTTATGTGTATGTGTGCCTCCTGAGCTGAAATATAAACTCCCTGGGAACAGTGACATCTCTCTCCAAGACATTCTGGGTACCCTAGAATAATGCACGGCATTTGTTCAAATAATTCAATACTCTTCTCATCAATTAGCTAACTCATTAATGGCATAATATGGTACATGTTGAATCTGGATCTGGCTATCATAAAGGGGAATTAAAATAAGGCACTAAATACTTCACATACGGTTTAAAATGGAAGTAAAGATAAAAGCATTTTCAAATGATGCCTCTTTAGGTCAAGCCAAAAATACGGGCCATTTCATTAGCACAGAAAATTCTCCAAGGCATGCAATAATATTACTTCATCTGCTCAGCAGGGAACCTGTGATCTCTTATGACAGAAAGCCTTCAGTGTTTTTCTGTTAACTGCAATAGCCACATTCTTTGCAGTGTTTACAAAAATTCAGTCCCTGGGAACTGCCTTTACTGTTGGGTCCCTTATTTTTATAACCACAGAGGAGGTTGTTAGTTTAAGGGTGCATAGTTGTGATAAAAAAAAAAAAAATTAAGGTAATTTACTTTAATTGAAGTCAGATTCACCTAAAGAGAACAAAATCAAATAAACCTCTCAAAAACAGATCAGCAACCTATAGCCTTCAAATTCACATTAGTGTTTTGTTTTCTAGCACTGTCTAAAAATTTTGTAGCTATCTAGTTGAATATACCATCACTGTAGCATTATTAATTTCACTTTTGTTTGCAAACACACCTAAATAACTCTAATATACATTCACATGTTATTTTGTCTTGTAGGCAAACAAGGAAACTGCGTGACGCCGAACAAGAGAAAGACAGAAACCTGCTGAAGACCCTCATAAAAGTCTGGAAAGAGATGAAATCTCTCCGAGAGTTCCAAAGGTTTACAAATACGCCCTTGAAGCTTGTTTTGAGAAAGTAGGCTGTCTTTTTTTGTATTATTATTATTTTATTGGGCTATGTCATACATCAAGAAAAATGTGTACGATAGATACGGTTTAAAAAACGACAAATGAATAGCCTTATAACTACTCTCCAGGTCAAGAAAGGAAAGATTGTAGGCACCAGGGCAGCCCGGGTTCCCCTCTGTACCAGCACCCTCTACCAGGAAGTAACAACACTCCAGACTTCTGTGATCCTGTCTCCTCACTTTTATATAGTTTTACAATCAGAAATGTGTACTTTAACATTGCTGTGTTTGACCTACAAAAGTCAAAGTGTATTGTGTATAGTCTTTAGTAAACACATGCTTCTTTTCATCAATGTTATCTGATGTTCATCTACTTGAGAATGCATAGCTGTAGTTCCTTCTCTTTGCCTTTTAATATTTTGTTACATGAACACAGCAAAATTTGTACAGTTTAATGATGATTGGCATTAGAGCTGGTTCTGCATTTCAACTCTTTATAAACATCACTTCTGTAGACACTTTTGGATTGTTCCTCAGGATAAATGTGCCTAAGATTTCCAGAAATATACCTGAAAGTAGAAATGGTGAGTCTGAGCAGAAATCACAGGTTTTTTTTTTTTTTTTTTTTAGATACGTGATCCCCAAAAGAGCACCTACCATTTCTGCTCAGTTAACCATTTGTCTGCTCAGTTAATTGACTAATGAAAAATTCAGATATTCTGTCCCATAAAAGCCAAAGATGTCTCCTGGAAGTTCCAGTGTTTTTGCTTCCCAACTCCATCTCCTCGGCTACCCCTCCCACACAAAAGCAATACATTAGTCTTTGCCAGTTTATTCTCTCCTTCTGCCTGGTTCCTTGGTTTCTTCATTCCTTCATTTTTCTCCTTCTCTCCTTCCCTTTCTTCATAAGTATGTCTTTAGGAAATTTACCCATATGTAACTATAGCCAAATTCCTTTGGATTACCCATTTTTTCATATTATCTATTTGTCTATCCACCTTATGATAAAGCATGATTTTGCCTGCCAAACAATAATTGAAATCTCAACTAGTTTATTCGTGCCTGATTAACGGTGAGCAAAGGGAATGGTTCCCTGTATATCAGAGATAGATCATAATTTAAGGGCCAGATTTTCCCAAAGTCTATAAATGTCAGGTACCCCTGTGTATCTCAAGGGATTTCTTTGGTAGTTAACCTAGAGACTTGTAAGAGCTTGTGCCTTGGGGTACTGCTCCCTGCTAAACTACTAGGTAATGGGAGCCTAGACATTCAACAGCTCTAGACACTTGACTAAATTTATCTAAAATGTATGGGGGAGATTTAAGAGTGTAGAACTTGGAAACCCAACTGCATCAGAAAGAGCAATCACTAAGTGCACCACCTGCAAAGTGCTAGGCGGGATATGAGCACTGCGTGTTTGCCACACACCACCTCGCAGGGGCACGCTGTTGGTTAACACAGGGAGGCCTCCAGATAGACAGCAATAAGGAAACCTTCGCATTAATTGATCTAGAGCTCATGTGGCCACTGCACCTTTTGTTGGTAGGACATCTCCCAGAACTAATGATCTACAGAACAGACCATGGGAAACCTTAGCTTGGGTTTATCTCCTTCGGAAATATCAGCAAAATCATCAGATAAAAATTCACATGATCAAGCCAATGTCAAAACAGTGGTCTGAGGGACTCTGTAGCGAAAAAAATCAAATGGTTCCTCAGAGATGTGGAGAGTTAATAAAATCACTGCAATGAAACTTCTGTGTTGTGGGTTGAGGACTTACAGGCACTGTGTCAGCAGCCCATGTGGGTCATTTAATCCAGAGGAGCATTTCTGCTGAGAGGTCAGACTCCAGCTGGCTCAGACTCCAGCTCTACCACTCACCAACTGTGGGTTCTTGGGCAAATCACATAACTTCTCTGTGCTGCAGTCACCTATTTAGGGGATGACAGTCTTTCTCACAGGGTCATAGTAATATATATATACAGCACTTTTGCTCATAGCAAACCCAGAATAAGCATTTTCTATGATTATTACTCTCTTGCTTAATTCTAAGAAATAACTAAGGTACTATAAATTCATTTAAAGGGAAAAAGTTGACCAAAAAGCTGATGAAAAAGCATATGAAGCAGAAATTCAAGCTGAAATAAATGAATTGTTGGAAGAGCATACGGAAGAGTACGAACAGAAGATGGAAGAGTATAGAGCTTCATACCAGCAGTGGAAAGCCTGGAAGAAAGCCCAAGTGTGTAAATGGGTCTGGTCCTGGAGCGGGGCTGGTGGGGACGATGCAGGAGGGTGGCCCCCAAGACAGCAGGAGGGAGACTGGACTGGCAGACTGGAGTCTCCTGCTGGCTCCACCGTAATTGACTGGTTAATGCTTCTGTTTTAAAAACCCACCCGGCTAGCTGACACCAGAGCCAGTATTTGCGTGAACAAACAAGTAAGTAATAACACAGTAATCGCTACCGTGTGGAGCACGAGGCTAGGGGTCCTGCATGGATTATCCCATTGGATGCACAGCACCTCTATTTCCCTCAGATAACTCTGTAACTATGCACAGAACCCGGCAAAACTAAATCCAGGGGCAACAAGGAAGGGATCAGGGTGACCCGCAATACCTGCTGCTCTCCTTAATTTAATTTTTGATCCGAATTGCTGGCCTGGAGAACCAGTGTTCATGAGCACGTTGCAGGCCCCAGGCAGCACGCACCCAGCAGGCGCCAACTCACATCAGCATCCTGGGAGGAGTTTCCCATGCTGTCCCCACTTGGGTGAGAGGACTGAGGCCCAGAGAGGGCAGGTGGCGAGTAACCTGCCCGAGTGAGCGTGGCTGGGAGAGATGGGCTGGGTTTGCCTCCAGCTCTGTGGGGCGCTGAGACTGCTCCTAAAGGAAATCCCCAAACTCCTGATTGACGTCAGGCTGCCTTTTACCCTTCAGAGGGCCAAGAAGAAGAAAAAGAAGGAGGCAGCGGAAGAACACCCCGAGGAGGAGGCAGAGGAGGCCCCTCCGGGGGAGGAGCCCGTGAAGCCGGTCCCTCCAGAGCCCACTGACCCGGGAGAGCTAGAGCAGAAGGTGAGGGAGCGAGCAGCCCATAGCAGGAGGCGCCCGGGGGAGCCCCTGCTGCTCCCGGAGCTGAGCCTGGCGGGGAGCGTGACGCCCAATGAGCAGTGCCCCAGGTGAGCAGGTGCTGTGACCACAGGTAAGGTTGACACCTCCCACTCAGGTGTGTGCGTGCGTGCAGGTGCGTGCAGGTGCAGGCAGACACATGCTTGCTCCCCTTATGAAGTATACTCCGGATTGAGCTCCATGATCAGGAGAACCACTACCCTCTGTGAGTGCACATTAGATTGAGCCTGCTCGCATTTGGTGATTCAGCAGGATCCGGCCACCTCTGCATCCGTAGCAACCATCCAGGAGCACTTGCATAGAGCTGCCTGTAGGAGGTGTCGCAACTGCCAATCTGTGCCTGCTCTCCACTGTCGGGTGACTTTGGGGTGAACTGGCCTACCTGTAACCTCCATACACCTTTCAGTTCACTGCTACCATGTCCCTTTTCCCTGATGCAGACACTGAAGCCTCTCCTTACCCCTTGATTTTGCCAACACCAGAGACTAGAGGTTCACCACAGCTTCTGTCTTTGAAGGTCTTGTAGAACCTCCCAAATACAGTTACAGGTGTGCCCTATGGCTAGTATTGAAGTCAAGCTATCTGAAGCAGACCCTCTGGATTTGATAAAAGTACATTTCCAAGCTGAGGTAGCACATGCCTGTAATCCCAGCAGCTTAGGAGGCTGAGGCAGGAGGATGGCGAGTTCAAAGCCAGCCTCAACAATTTAGCAAGTCCTTAAGCAACTCAGCAAGGCCCTATCTCTAAATACAATGTAACAAAAGGGCTGGGGATCTGGCTCAGTGAGTGGTTAAGTGCCCTGGATTCATTTTTATGTGGTACGTAAGAGAAACATCACTTTCTGAAGGTTTATATGTGTGTAATAAACCATAAACATATTACATGTCTTTTCTCTTTAAAAATTACAAATATTTTTTAGATTCCCTGTTTATTTTATTTCCTACACCTTATTGCCACGTGTGGCCCCAGGATCAGCAACTTTGGCATCTCTTGAGAACTCATTAGAAAGCAAGGCTCAGATTCTACCTGAGACCTGTGGAGCCTGAAACTCTGGGAGGGGCCAGAGAGCCAGGTTTTCACAAGGCCTTCAGGCAATTCTGATGCATGTCACAGCATATCCTAATTGGAATCTGCTAAACTCATAGAAACCCCCAGAGCCCAAGCTTCAATCTCCAATAACTGCAAGACCTACCATGATTGTAGGCAATATCTTAGACTGGTATTCAGGATATCAACATTAAAAGTGAGGATTTGAGCTGGGCGAGTCAGCCTCCAAGCTCACTAGGATGTGGGGGTTGATTAGGATGCCATTTAAAGATTTCCCATGGCCTCCGTGATTTCAAACTTCTCTTAATGTGCTAATAATTGGGGGAGAAGGGGTTACTGGAGATTGGACTCAGGGCCACTCAACCAGTGAGCCACATCCCCAGCCCTATTTTGTATCTTATTTAGAAACAGGGTCACACTGAGTTGCTTAGCACCTTGCTTTTCCTGAGGCTGGCTTTGAACTCATGATTCTCGTGTTTCAGTCTCTCCAGCCACAGGTGTGCACCACAGCTCCCGGCTGCTAATAATTTTTTAATTGTAACTTCTTGTGCATTTTCGTGTGTGCTTTCAACCTCACCTATCAGATACATAAACTGAATCAGCTATTTTCAAAACACACATACCATATCATGTTATTTTGCCATAAACATTCAAAATATGGAATGACAGAGCATGTTTTTTTTTTTTAAGGGAAAACTGGCTGGTGCTGGATTAGGTAATATTCCCTTTTGACTGAGAATGAACAAACACTTCATCCTAATAAGATTCTGAGTTTTCACTGGGATTTAGGATTACAACCCAGGTACCTCCAAGCCAATGACCAGAATCACCCCTTCATTAGACCATCAAGTAAGGGGAACCATGATGGAAGGGGGAGGTTTTGCTCTGCCTGTTGTAGAAGGTCCCTGGGAACAAGAGTTCTGTTGATGTCCAAGTCTGTAGATGTCTTAAATTTTTCTTGCAATTTGGGGTTAAATGTCCTTTATAGGCTGAAGTCACTTGAGCATTTGGGATAGGTCTAAATTGTAGAGATGTAAAAGTTAAAACTATCACCAAATTTAATGAGTAGAAAATTTTCACTGGAAACGTTCTGAAATATTTCCATGAAAATGTTCTGAAGACAGGTGGTGGTGACAGCCGCGAAACATTCTGAAGATGTGCTTTTCAGTGTCTGTTAATGGCCTCTCTGTAAGTTCCATGTCACAATAGTTTATTCTAGTAAGTTCTGTAAGACAGGTGGCTGTTTTGGTTCAATGGGGGCTAATGTGATCGATGGAGTTGCCCCAGTTAGGTCCAGTGTCCATTTATCCCACACTCCAGTGATCCTTGGCAAACTAATACTGACCCCAGCTGCAAATGGTCTCATTTGCAGGGTAGAGGTCTTGCGGAGAGAAGATGTGAGGAGGCGCTGTGTGTACTTGAAGGTGCTCTTCAACAACAAGGAGGTGTCCAGGACAGTCAGTCGACAGCTTGGTGCAGACTTCCGAGTTCACTTTGGACAGATTTTCAACTTACAGATATTCAACTGGCCAGAGAGCTTAACGCTTCAGGTACACATTTCAATTATAGTCACTCGTCCTAGAGTGGCGTGGTCATTGAAGGTGTGGGTGGTTCTAAATCATCCATTGGCTATGCAGATATCTTGAAAGATTCTCAAGAGGAACAGGTCAGCTCTTAATTTTAAAGTTTCTTAAAGTCTCGGTGAAAAGAGATCTGTTACCCTGCACAGCTCCTGAAGAGACTGGCAGAGTAATTGGTGGGTGGCTGAAAGAGTGTGGAGGGCAAGTACATTCACTGAAGAAATACTTCAAAATCCCTGTCTACAGGACCCTAGCATAATGTAACAGAGAAACCAGTTATGCCACCATCACAGGGGCATAATAATCTAGCACTGGGGTACAGGTGCTAGATTCCCCCAAATTAATAAATCTCCCCACCAGCCTAAATCCCACCATGAGCAACATATTAGTTTTTGTCTGATTTAGTTTCCCAGGGCTGGCATAACTAAGTACCCCAAACTTGATGGCCTAACACAACAGAAATGTATTTGTTCCAGTTCTGGAGGCCCAAAGTCTCAAGTCAAGGTACCAGTAGGGCCACACCCCCTTCAAAGGCTCTGGAGGAGAACCCTTTCTTGCCTCTTTGGTTTCTGGCAGCTCTTGGAGCTCTGATTCATGAAGCATTGCTCCTGTCGGTGCCTTCATCTCCACATGGCCTTCTTTGGGTCTGGTGTATTCCTTTTATCTCTTATAAGGACACTCTCATTGGATTTAGGGCCGCCCTAGTCTCATCATGGTCCTTAAATAACTACACCTGCAGAGTCCCCATTTCTAAATTAGGTCATATCCTGAGGATCTGGACGGATGTCGATTTAGAAGATAAATGGTGCCCCAAAGCTGCATGTTCTTTTGTGAGTTCTCTCTTATGATGTTGATGGATTTCTTTCATGATTCTAACAGGAATGTTAACTAGGGCTACAGATGAGCAGCATGTGTACCCTGCTTCCTATCAACTTCCCAAGCAGATTTCACGAGTTCTCAGCCTTACACAGGCAGAAATTTCTCAGTCCCACCCCCTACCCTGGCCAGAAATGACAATCAGCTAAGGACTTTTCCACCCTGAGCCTGGATCTAACTTTAGAATCCCCTCAACAAGTACTCCTGGCAACCACTGCCTATTGATTGTGATTGATCTTAAGTTGGCCAGTAACATTAGAGATGTATAATGATTATAATTTATATGCCTCTGTACCATGTAGAAAATAGCTGCTGCCCATTGCCCCTAAGTACCACCTTGATCACATGGACCCTGCTTCCAAGACCCCCAGACCTTCCCACAATTAATCACTAAAGGGGGTGCTCAACCAAGGCTACTGCCCCTAGGACCCTTTTCCCAAGCTGTGCAGACAGCTCTTCTGTCTGTCTAGAGCTTTGCCCTGTGTGTTGAGCACCAACCTCAGTAGTTAACAACCTCCCAAAACTGGGAGAAGCTTGAGACAGCCAAGACGGAGGTTCTTGTGACAGTGGAAAGGAAGCACAGAGGAAGGGTGCCAAGAAGAGGGAGGGAGGCCCTTTAAGGACCAGCACTGGGCAACCAAGGCTGATCGATCACTTTGGCCTGGAATTCTCCCAGAGCCTGGCAGTTTTGTTCTACACCTTTGCATCTAGGACCTGGGGTAGGGGCAGCAGAGAGGATCCTCATTTACAAAGCACTGATCACCAAGACTCAAGCCAGATAGATTCCTTGATTTTATTATTATCAATGCAGTTACTGGTAACCACACTGATACCTACACAACTGAAAGAATGTTCTTGAAATTTTAGAATCTAGCATAGGCCAGTCACTCATATAATCCTAAATGCCAGCTAATTTTTTTTTAAGTCTTTGCATTCTGGAACTTGAAAATAATAGAACTTATATTAATAGAACTCACTAATTTAAATTTTATAGACATGAGAGAAAAAACAGGTACATTTTTCAAAGTAAAGGTATTGGTATTAGCAGTAGGATTGACATTGGAGGTTTGGTGAAAACCTGAGATTTCCTTAACCCTAAAAATTCCCTTTCTGCATACCATCTATAGGAAAACTATCTCTATATAAATTTCTACTAAATTTTACTTCCTAAAATTTACAACTCTGAACAAAGGCAGGACATAAAATGAGGTGATTTGGTCTTCAGGTGGGAGTGGGGGACTCCCACAGTCTGCACTGGGAAGGCGAGCCAGGTGGCCACCAGCTGAGTGACCACTGGATTGCTAGTGGAAAACAGAGAGCCATGTGAGAAAGGGATACACAGGGCCCTGGCTCCAGGAACATCAGTCCAGTGGGGAAATAAGAGAGAAGGACAGAGGAACAGCACTGGCTGGTGTGCAGATGTGAAGGGCCACTGGGGGGAACAGTGTTAACTGTGATGTTTGATTTCATGCACGTTCTAACCACAAGCCCAGTGTTTGCTAGCCAGACTTGAGATAAGAATGCCAAGGCATGAAGCACATGAATTCAAAGACTGGCAGAGAAGCCAGGAGCAGGTGGGAAGGACCCAGCCACAGAGATGGGAGGAAGAGGTCGATTAAAGCAGCCTTCAGTGGTGGGACCCAGGGCTTGATGATAGTTTGGCTTGAAGGAATAAAAGGAATAGCAGTCTACACTGGCCCCCAGAGAAGGCTGAGACTGGACTTCCAGAGCAGGGGAGTTTGAGCCAGGCCAGTATCATTCCAGAAAGGTTTTGAAACTCTCGGCTTCTGAGGTCCTTCCAAAACAAATGCTTTACCTTTTGCAAAGGAAATTTGTCTTAGAAGTGTGAAAGTTTTGTGATGATTGCCTCCGTTTCTTTGTTTATCATTTATGTTCTCAGTTTCAGCTTAAAAAATACTAGCAACTGTTATGTAATACTGCTAGGCAGGTTGCACATTTTTTAAGCATTGTTGTTTTCCCACAGAAATCAATCCTGTTGAGCTTTTACTTTCCAGCGTGTAGTCTGAGATGGGGAGTTGAGGATAATAAATTCCTCCCAGGGCCTGTTCTGATTTCTCTGGCTCATCTTTAGAGTGGCACCATCAAGGCCAGGAAAATAGTGATATTTGGGCAAGGAAGTCCTTGTTTACCTTGTCTCATTCACTTTTATGATTTTTTTTTTTTGTCCTCTGTGAATAAAAGTCCAAAAGAGATTGTTTTTCATACTCATCTTACTTTATGCTTTCAGTTGGTGACAGCAAATCAGACTGTTGCAAGTCATCCTCAGGAGCTAAGGGAAGTAGGTATAGGAGGCCCACAGTCTGCAGAGTGGAATCAGGTGGCCAGGAGCAGGTGGGAAGAGCAGGTGGCTGCCTAGGAGGACAGGTTACCTGGGGCAGAGTAAAGACAGCTGTGGTCATCTAATGTGAAAGGCAGGAGTGTACACAGACCAGGGGCAGCTAGGGAAAGTGTCAAGGAAATAACATTTATGACAATACTGCAGGGCCTGGTCACTTAAACAGACCATTTCATGCTGCACTGGAGAAAATCACAGATACTATCATTCTGAGTTTCAGAGATCTTGAGTCAAGTGGCAGAGTTGAATTAAATCCAGACTAATTAGGCTCTAAACTTTATCCTCATTTCACCTAATTAGGAGTAACAGTAAAGGAGAGCAAAGTCCAATCAATTCTTCTGGACTCAGAATTGATTACTGTGAAGGAGTCTTAGAAGGCCATCTCAGGCACCCCATGTATTGAACTGTTAGTATTTAGTGATCTCTAGCATAAAGTGACAGTCACAGAACAATGACAACAGTCCAGGCACCATTTTAAACCCTTTCACCTAAACTCATTGAACCATCACGGCAATCTCATGGTAGCTGTATTGCTGCTCCCTTCATATGAATGGAGAAGTTAACTGAGGGAGAAGTTAAATAACTGACCTGAGATCACACAGCCAGATAGGAGAACAGGCCAGGCCTGGCCCCTAACTACCTGACCAGTCTACACCTGTGGCTGGGACATGCAATCCAGCAAGTGTTTGCTGAGCAAAGCATCCTGCAGGTCGCTGTGGGAAACAGGAGGATGAACTAGACATAATCCCAGATGTAGGTGGCAGTGAGGAAATGACATGAGGTTGGTGGCTGGGATTCTGTGGTCTGGGAGGAGAGAAACTGGCGACACCCAGAGGGGGCCTCCCTCCCAGAGGCTCTGCCGAGGAGGGAAATGGAAGAGGAATCATGGCTGACTTCAGGGTGTGGCTGATTTGAGCTTGTTTACCAGCTGTGAGGAGAGCAAACGGCACAGAGCAGATTGATGTCTTTGGAAATAAGAAGGAAAGTTGAGGGGAGGCAGGGAACCAGGGCCCACAGAGTGCTGGGAGGGGTGGGACTTAGGAAGGTCCCTTGAAGAAGGAGCATTGACACAGAATGGAGGACAGGGCCGTGAAGGAGAGCATGTCAGATGTCCTCAACCCTCAGTGGAGGAAAGGTCTGAGAGCACAAAGGAAAGTTGGTTTGACGCTGAGCTGAAACAGGGCCATTCGCCAGGAGATGACTAACCTCAGTGAACAACATCCAGGACAGATCACAGAGCAGCCATTCATACCCGATCCAACATGACCAAGTGCAAGAGATGAAACTGTCTTTTTAATCAGGGAAATATGACTAAAACCATGCAATGCAACTTTATTTCTGGATGGAATTTTTGTTATTTTCTTTTGCTTTGCAGTGCTAGGAATCAAACCCAAGGCCTCATTCATGCTAGACAAGTGCTCTACCAGCGAGCACATTTCCAGTCCTGGAATGCATTTTTAAATCTATCTTAGCTTGATTTCCAAGGTTCCTCTTAGGTATACATTTCTGAATCTTACTAGCAGTTAAATTTGTACCAGATTCTTCAATTAAAGCAAACAATATTCCAAAGCAAGAAAAGTAATAATGATTTCATAAATGGCCTCAATTTTGCTTTCACAACAGAAGTTTTGAACAGTTAAATGTGAATCAAATTAGATTTCCTATCTTGTTACTGAGTTAATGTTCCATCTCCAAGCACACCCATCATTTGCTCAGAGTGGTGCTTCTCAAGTGGTTAATTTTGTCCATTAGGGGACATTTGACAGTGTCTAGAGACGTTTTTGATTAACCTAACTGGTGGACAGTTACAGACATCACTGGTGGTTAGAGGCACTAACCAGAGCTTCTGCTACCTTCAAAGAGTAGAGTAAAAAGTTTGCGAAAACCTTGAATGTCTTTCAGCTTTGTCAGACGGCATCCCGATTTTCTTATTGGAAAGTAGATAATGACCTTGTGAGTAGGAGTCCCAGTGGACACACCTTCCATTCCCCTGGAGAATAGACCCAGCTCCAGGAGTCCCACTCAGTTCCTCTCTGACACTGGATGGGAATATGGCTCTCGAGACTGGAAACAAGGACTCTTGCAGTGACGTCCACCAGAAATGCCCTCAATGTGGCCAGTGTTTCATTACTAAGCATGATGACCAGCACAGGCCACACCCAGGAGGAATAAATACCAAACAAGCCCAGAAGCATTTACCATAAAATATCTAGTGAATGCTTAAAGTCTGGCAGGGGTACGTGTGCAGACCCCCCAGAGTCATATAATAAACAAATACTTGGTGATTCTGTTACAGGAGCAGTAACTGAACTAGAACTGTCGGGTCTATTACCTTATTTAATCTTCATTGTAAACCAAACACACCTAAAGCTCCTAGTGGGCTTTATATAAAAGGATGTCCCAATAAGTTAAAATTTTGGTTAGTTAAAAAAACTAAGCATTTTTTTTTAATGAAAGAAAACACACCATTTTCTCATGCTGAAACTTCATGCAATGAGCGCATAGTTAACAGGTCAAACCTGAGTCTCCTGTGCAGTAAGTAATAGCTGACCACATGTTTGTGAAGATGTGTGAAAGTCAGAACTGCAGGCTCCTGAGAGGCTTTGGGACAGGCAATAGTGACACTCCTTTTCCCCTCAGCATTCTGAATCCATGGAAATGGGGAGAAAAAGTGCACTCATAAATTAATAGAGGCTTAAGGGACATGTCAGTCATTTGCAATGTATGGAATACCTTTTGGTCCTGATTCAAACACAATATATAGGTTTTTCAAGAAATTTTGAACCTTAATAATTGATGTTACTAATGAATCACTGTGATAAGAGTATTGTAATTATGCCTTATTTTATATCTTCCCCCCCCCCCTTTTTTTCAGTATAGGGAATTGAACCCAGGGCCTCATGCATGCTAGGAAAGCACTCTGCCACTGACTGAGCTGCCTCCCAAGCTCTTGTTAAATTTTATTTTGAGATAGGGTCTTGCTAAGTTGCTCAGGTTGGCCTCAAACTGGTCATTCTTCTGTCTCAGTCTCTCAAGTAGCTGGGATTGCAGGCATATGCCACAGTTCCCAGCAATATCCTTATCTTTTAAAGATGCTTCCTGAAATATTGTCAGATAAAATGATGTTTAGGTTCAAGATATTGAAAGAAAGGAAGTGATTAAGGGTATAAGTCAAATAAGACAGACAAATTAGTGATAGTCAAAGCAAGGAATAGGGTCCTGGTGTATCATTATTCTTGTACTATGTATGCTTGATATTTCCCATAAAATTTTTAATACTGATAAACCTGAATCCAGAGAGCATGGCTTTCATGTGCCATTTATGGGCTCTCAGTGGAGCCCCTGGGTTAGGTAGACGTTGCCATCCCACCACAGGAAAGCCATGAACATCACAGGTCTCCTGATGGACCCAGCCTGTTGGAATAACTCACAGTGACATGAAATCTGACATCTTGAGTTGGGTTCCTATGCAAATTTTACACTTTCCTCCACTAGTGCCACCAAGCTCAGTCAGTCACCTTACAAATATGAGCACGTGGATCCTAGGAGATGAGGCCAGGATGGTAGTCAGGCACAAAGTCACCTCACTCTGAGAAAAGACTTCAGATCACATGCCCTATGAGGGAGGGTGGGCAGGGAGGATCCATAGTGACACCCTTGTACATTCAAATGGTGAGTAGAAAATATTGATTAGTTTAGGGGACTTTATTATGTAAGAAAGAAAATATAAAGATTAACTAGTAGAAATAAAAATTAGTAAAATTAGCATTTTCAGAAAAATAGGGACCAGTCAGGGGACCTCATGGAGGGAAAGAATAAAACACAGGACAGAAGCCCGCAGAACTGTGGAATACTTTGTCATCTTGCCACAAAAGCAAGATGAGCCAAGAATACAGGGGAAACTGGAGCAGATGAAGCAATGGGTCCAACTGAGGCTGAATTGTATGTTCTTCATCTGTGATTGCCTTAGCAATGAGCCCTTCCCCTCATGGCGATGGCACTATAAGAGACACATCATAATAATGAGCATCAGAGCTGCAGATGATCTGGTTGGCTTTGTCTTGGAAGAAAGACTGGGTTAGGCTACAGAGCTAGCCACCAGGATGACCTCTGAAAGGGTAGAATTTAAGGTATTTACCAAATAGCAGGTTTAAATGTGACACTCTCCAGGCTTCTGGGTACAAAGCTTCTCCTACTGACTTGGAGGTTGGTGCAGATAATATAAAACACTAGCAGTATGCCCCTTCTGTCACACCCATTCCACCTGATGTCATTGGTCTCTAAAGGTCACCTGAATTAGGAAAAAGAAGAAGCCTTTCTCCAAGTAAGCTGTGTGTTAATTTAGAATAGAAATAACCACAGTAGCCTATTGCTCTGATTAACCTCCCTTTCCCAGTAGATTAGCCGGGTAGGAAATCAGGGCATCGGCAACTTGAACTCAAGTGGGTGTCAGTCAGTTTCCATGGGACGGTAGTAACACAACTTAGCTTTCTACTCTGAGATGTGCCTTCTGGGCTGGGACAGTGACCAGCACAAACACAACAATGTGGACTGAGTATCTGAGAGTGAGCACATTCTAGTAATAGCTGTTTTTATTGGCTATTTCTCTTCTCTGGGTTTCAGGTCTATGAAACCATTGGACACAGCAGCACCACCTTGCTAGCAGAAGTGTTTCTGCCTATCCCTGAGACTACTGTTGTCACTGGAAGGGCTCCCATAGAAGAAGTGGAATTTAGCAGTAACCAGCATGTGACACTGGACCACGAGGGAGTTGGAAGCGGTATGGAAATTGAATTGTCATCAATATGGCTTATGGTTTCATTGTCAGATTTGAGTATATCCTTTTCACATCGCTCTGACAACCAGATAATATTTAATTGCTACCAGAATTCATATTAAAATAATGATGTTATATAATATTTTGCCAAGTCACTTTTATAAGCTACTATTGACCATGAAAATGCATGTAACTATATAACTATAAAGTGTTTAGCAGTATGAATTAAGAACCTTTAAAATCCCCTTCCATGCCTTAATTCCATTTATCAGAATCTTTTTTAAGAAAATAATTTGAAATAAAGACAAATCTTTGTACTTAAAAATATACATCACAGTGATATTTGTAAGGCTAAAAACATGGTGATAACTTTAGTAAGTAAAATAGATTATTCCTTACCATTCTGTCTTCTACAATTTTAATAAGATATATGATAGATCTTCTCACTGTCCTCCATGTTTCTTAATTTTTCTTTATACTTTAATATTTAATGTTTTCTTTCTCTGCTACATTATATGTAATTTCTTCCAAGTCATGAATTCACTCTTTAGCTGTGTCTAATCATTGGAGTTCATCATTGTTTTCTCCTTCCACTTTTCCTTCCATTTCTCCAATTTTAGAAACTCTATCTAGTTCTTTTCCGATAAGCCTGGCCAGTTCTGATTGCATTTTGTTCTTTTCTTGGACTCCAATCAGTTCTCTTTTATTCATTCATTCATTTTATTGAAACATATTAAAATTTTTAAAAGATTCTGTATCTGATAATTGCAAAACCTATCCACATATTGTTCTGATTCTGCTGCCTCTTATTCATGATGGCTTGTTTCCTCATGTTCCTGGTAATTTTTATTTTTAACTCATATCTGGAGCTTTAGCTGCAAGAATTCTTTAAGACCCAAATCTAGTCATCAGTATAAAATCTGAAGACCTGGACTTAGTTGTATCTCTGACATGGACAAACCATGTTACCCCAGCAGTCATAGAACCTCCCTGGGTATTATCTTCCTCATACATTAAATAGAAAACACCTCCTTTAATGTTTCATCAGTATGCTTTGAAAATAAAGATGAAAATCCTTCCAATATGAAGGACAGATTTGGAAAACATCAAGATGCTATTATGACATAAAAGTGCTATTGTTTTGCATGAATAATAGTTACTGGAAATCTGGACTCTGAAGTAACTGTATTTAGTGCCTGAACATCTTTTCTTGGTTTAGTTGACTAAACATGCTGCCCTTAATTTCCAGTTGGTGGAGGTCAGATGAGTGGGGCCTTGCTGTGGCCACAACAGTTGAGCAGTGACCAACATCTACTGTGTGCTTGCTGCTTGCCAGGCCCTGACTCAGCTTTGCAGTGCTCATTCCTTGAACTTGGGGTCTCACTTCAGGGTACCTGCATTTGTTCCTTCTGCTAGGAATATTCCTTCCAAAAGTATCTACATGTCTCACTTCCACTTTCTTCAGTCATTTATTCAAAAATCACTTTCACCATGGTAACATCCACACTCTACTGTCAGAGACAGAGCCAAGAGGCTGGTTCTGTGTCACCCAAAGCAGTCTGATGGCCCTGGAGGGGATCATGTGTTCCCGCCCATCACCTTACCTACTCCAAGTTCCATTGGCCGACCATCTGCATTCTTGCTAGGACTGGGCTCATTTCTCCTTCTAAATATAAATTAATCTTATTTAATCTGATGTATCCCCAGGAGTGCCCTTCTCCTTTGAAGCTGATGGCAGCAATCAACTGACTCTAATGACCTCGGGGAAGGTGTCGCACAGTGTGGCATGGGCTGTTGGGGAAAATGGCATCCCGCTAATTCCTCCATTGTCACAGCAGAACATCGGATTTCGGAGGTAACATGTGGCTTGAACAAACTGATGGCCAATATCAGTGTTAGAGTTACAGATTTGCAGGGAGGGAAAGCTTACAATGCCATATCCTTTCCTTTTATTGTCAGGTGCCAGTGTTTACAGAGTATTTCAAAACTTGTTCTTAACCTAAAAATTAAAATAGCAAGAGCCTAACAAATATTAGGGATTTATCAGTGTCAGAGGAAAGCATTTTATTTCATCCTCACAGTAACTCTGAGAGACTGTTATCCCCATGTTACAATTGGGAGAGGCGCCCAGCATATGGTTGTGTATATTTAGCCCTCAGTAAAGGTTTGTTGCTAACAAATCTACTGGTTGTACAAAAGTCCCTATTCTCCAGCCCCTTTCTGTATTGCTACATCCTCATTCAGAAGAGGAGAAAGGGCTTCTGGGCTAGCCAGTCCACTCCTAGGCAGCTGTTTTAGTCAGCTGTTTTGCCACTGTGACTAAAAGACCCAACTAGGGGCTGGGGATATAACTCAGTTGCTAGAGTGCTTGCCTCACATGCACAAGGCCCTGGGTTTGAGCCCCAGCACCACAAAGGAAAAAAAAAAAGAAAGAAAAAGACCCAACCAGCACATCTGTAGAGGAGTAAAGGTTTATTTGAGGGCTCACAGTTTCAGAGGTCTCAGTCCATCGACAGCAGGCTCTTTCTTCGGGGTTCAAGGTGAGGCAGAACATCCTGACAGAAGAGAATGGCAGAGGGAAGCAGCTCACGTGGTGATCAGAAGCAGAGAGAGACTCCACTCTCCAGATACAAAAATACACCCCACAGTCTTGCCTCCAGTGAACTACCTCCTCCAGCCACACCCTACCTGCCTCCAGTTACCACTCAATTAATCCCTATCAGGTGACTAATTCATTGATTGGGTTAAGACTATAACCCAATCATTTCTCCTCCAAACCTTCTTGCATTGTCTCACATGTGAGTTTTTGTGGGACACCACATCTAAACCATAACAGCAGCCCTTGAGTGATGATGCTGGTCCACGTGCCTAGGTCACAGGAGCCCCATCTTCTCCATCAGAGGCTCCCTCTGTCCTTCCCAATAGATGTGTCTTGATCAGCCCCTCAGTTGCCTCATCTCTAAAATGAAAGGGTTTCTTCTCATCATCAAGAACACACTTTCCAAGTCTGAGACTAGCTGTTTTCAATGTGTGGAAAACCAGAACAGGGCTTGTTTGGTCCCCTTGGCACCCTCCACGTCCCCATTCCACACTCCGCATTGCACTGTCTCCATGTAATGAAAACCACAGGGAGATGGGCTTGCTCCAAGTCAGGTGCTGCTTCCTGCCCAGCGGGCCAGTGCCCTGGAGCATAGGCATTTTGCATTCATTTTACTTGAGCTTAATGCTAGGGAAACCTCTTGGGGGGTAAAACAGGACACAAGTAACTAAGTAATGGGAAGCACAGAACTGTTGACAAAGCCCCAAGGCCACTGTGCTTCCTTTGAATCCCTGTGTGCAAAGCTGGTGCCTTTTTCTTTTGTTTGTTTGCATCCGAGTGCCCTCATGGCCTGGGATGTGAGGCATTCAGGGCTTCTGGACCACATGCAGAGGCTCCTCTTCCCTGGCCAGGACCCAACTATGCACAGGGCAGAGTTGTAGGACTGAGTCACATTTGCATCCCCTCCATTCATATTTCCTTATTGCCCTATGACATTTAGTAGCAATCATCCAGGCGCCTGGCACACAGCCTTATGTGAAGATTTTTCTCTCATGGTGGATAAGCAGTTCTCTGGGATCCAGTGGTCCTGATGCAACCTGCTCAGTGATAAAGTCAAACCCACAGAATCAACTGGTTTTCCTTGTTTATTTGTTTGTTTATTTTTCCAGTGCTTTGAAGAGAGCAGATGCCATCTCATCTATTGGCACATCAGGAATGACAGACATGAAGAAGTTGGCCAAGTGGGCAGCAGAGTCCAAGCTTGACCCGAATGACCCCAACAATGCCCCTTTAATGCAACTGATCTCGGTAATGTGGCCAGAGGCACACAGGCCATTTCTAAGCTCAGAGTGGCAATAAAAGATGAAATCGCAGAGCCCTTTGTGCCCATATTCTTCTACGCCATGCTCCCCTACTCAGCACTGTCTAAGGCCCCGAGAGCTGGCTGAGGTGAGGTTTAAATTCCTGCCCTGCTGCTTCCCTAGCTGTGAGACAACATGGCCACCCTCATAATGCGGTAGTGAGGAAAAGCGTGGCTGCTCAGAAACTCTTGGCCAGTCACACAGCCACCTGCAATGATACCAGCTGCTTCTTGTTACTCCTTCCTGTAGCTCTGCCCAGACCCTAAAGAAAGATTTATTTTCTCTGTTTTAATGGATTTTGTCTTTCGAATCTGCCCATCTGAAACTGTTAAATGTCTCCCAAAATTCAGTGCTAGGTTTCTTCAGGCGAAATCCACCTGTCACATGGCCTAGTTGTGCATTTTCTGGTTTCCATAGGTGGCTACCAGTGGTGAATCCTATGTCCCTGATTTCTTTCGACTGGAACAGCTACAACAGGAATTTAACTTTGTCTCAGATGAGGAATTAAATCGATCCAAACGTTTCAGGCTTCTTTGTCTTAGAAGCCAAGAGGTGCCAGAATTCCGAAATTATAAGCAAATTCCAGTATATGACCGAGAAATTATGGAAAAAATATTCCAGGTAAAAAGTTTCCTAAGAAGGGTTAGTAAAATAATAAAATATCTGGTATGCCTCTTAGTGTAATGTTATAAATGAACTTTCTTCTCCTTATTAAATTCTCAAGAGCAATATGGTTTTTTCTTATATAACACTTTTATATGTAACCTGTCTATTAATTTTCTTGAATTTGATATTTAAATAATTTATTTGCCTCATTGTAGTGATATGTAAAATAGCCAGTAACCAGGAATCTGAATCATGTGGTTGAACTGTCTAGGTTTAGAACTGTAAAGCTGGAAGATGAACTAGGGGTTAATGTGGTTATCCCTGGCTTGGCCAGGAATTCAGTTCTGTTTTAATGCAAGAGGTATCTGCCAAGCACTCTGTCCCAGGCACAGTGGTAAAATGCCCCAGGGAAGCCTGAATGGGTAGGATTTGGGCAGACTGGGTTGGGTGGGGCAGGAAGGAACAGAGGAGATGCACCAAATCTGAACCCTGGTCAAGGGCAAGAGTAGGAACAGAGGCTTAGCGGATGCAGATGGCAATGGCAGGGGCTGGGATGGAGGAGCTTTAGAGAAATTTTAGGACACAGGCTGTATAGAAGGAGCAGGCTAGTGGTAAAAAGATGAGTTTGTATTTGATGAGATGGGTGGAAAAAAATTAAAAATTAATACCATTGTGATTTTTTTCTGCAGAAATTATTCCTAGAGGATGCATCTGGTTACTTGGTTCTTAGTTATTTGGTTCCTTAGTTTGGATTTGTGATCCTAAGGGATAGAAACCCAATTTTGAACCACCTCAGGCATCAACCAGGGAGTCTGCTGAACAATGAAACCCCAAAGCAGGGTTAGCCATCCGAAGACACAGGAGCCACAGGAATCCATCTGTGCCCCAGAGCCCCAGATGTGAGGCCTGCCTGCTGCTAGGATGCTTCTGCAGTCTGTCTGGGCTTCTGGTGCAATGGCTTCCTGCCCCCAATAAGCAGATAGCTTTCCTGTGCTTAGCCACATGATCACATCTGATGGCTTCAGCCCGCAGAAAGGGAGACATGTCCTCCTGTCCCAAGTTCAGAAGTGTTGGGGAATAGCTCTGTGTTGGGATCTGGATTGGAAGCCATCAATGGGCCTTCAACTGTCACCAACAATGGGCATGAGGAGAACGTGGCAGTTCCCAGGACACATACATAATTGACAGAAAAGGGGAAAAGCCTTACCTGATGTCACCAAAGCAAACCCCTGCCCTCCTCAGAATGGTTGACCCATCAGGGCAGCCAGATGTCACAGGATGGGACAATATTTTCACTGGGGTTTCTCATTATTTTTGGAATTGCTTTACTTAAAATGGATAAAGGAAAACTTAAGCATGAGTTCGGTTAACTTGCTTGATGAGTTTAGCGTCTTGAATTCTGACTACTTTCTCTGTTCTGTGGCCTCTAAGCCTCCCTGCGTGAGCACTTGAACTTTTAAACACTGCCTTGAAGTCTCCTCTTTTGGTAAGGCAGCTTAACCAACTGACCTAGAATCCTGGATTCTGCACCAAAGATCAGTTCTGAACCAAAACTTAGGAGGAAGATGAAAGAAACATTTGGATTCATAATTTATGACTTGAACTGCATGAGATAAATAATTTCCTAATTCCAAGGAGAGCATCAGAGAGTACTTTAAAATCATCATGTCCTTTTAATTTTAGGAATATGAGAAGCGGTTACAAGACAGAAATGTAATTGAAACCAAGGACCATATAGACACCCATAGGGCCATTGTAGCCAAGTACCTCCAGCAGGTAAGAAAAATCACTTAAAACAGGTTTCACAGTGGGAGAGAGCCAGTATTCTGGAATGGGAGGTTCTCTGTTCTTATAAATGACTATGCCATCTTGTGCAAGCCACATAAATAAAAGTATGTGCCCGACAATTATCTTCACCTTTTGTATATATGAAACCAGTATGATATGTCATGGTTTATTATCAGTGATTGTCTTAAATGGAGATGATAACAAGAGACTGAATTTCTCAGTCATGTGTTTTCAAATATTTGAATGTTTACATTTATGTTATATTGCATTACAATGATTATCATTATGATCAGAAAAAAAACTAAACAAGTTTAAAAATCACATGCTAAGGGCTGGGGTTGTGGCTCAGTGGTAGAGTGCTCGCCTAGCAAGTATGTGGCACTGGATTTGATTCTCCCACTATATAAAAATAAATAAATAAAATAAAGATGTGTCTCCATCTACAACTAAAAAAAATATTTTTAAAAAAATCACATGCTAAGTGCCTTGTTCACTAGAAAACAAAAATTAAAGTTGAAATATCATTTAATCTTTTTCCTTTCTTTTTTCTCCTTCCTTCAATGAATACATTTCTCCCATTATCTACTCTATAGCTCATGCACAAAAAAAGAAAGATAAGATAAAGGACCTCTAAATATCATAACTTTTAAGTTTGTATGTATTTATTTTGACTTTTTTACAGTGCTAGGGATCAAACCCAGGGCCTCTTACATGCTGGGTCAGCGCAAGCCCTCCACCACTGAGCTGCCCTCCTGGCTCCTGAGGTCTCTATTTAAATTAGAACATATATCATTTTGAGTAAGGAAAGGACTTCAGAATCAGCTCTGAACTGTGTGTGCTGCAGACTGTTCCCATTTTTATTTTTTGTGATAGTAGAATTTTGCTGGAAGAATGTGTTACCTATCTTTTGTATCCAGAGCTTTTCCAGCCCCCGAAAATGTAACAACAGTGAACAAAACAGAAAACCTCTGCCTTTAAGGAGACAGTCTAGGGGGAACTGCCAGCTGTACAGCAGAGAGAGTCACAGCTGGGGTGGGGGAGGGATGGGGTGACCTAAGGCAAAGACTGGGAGGAGTGCTGGAGTGAACAATGACATTTAAATTAGTTTTAAATAAAGCTGAATTCTTTCCCTAGGTTAGAGACTCGGTGATAAATCGTTTCCTAGTTGGTAAACACCATTTTCTTCTTACTGATTTGGTAGTCGAAGAAGAAGTTCCCAATATCAGGTAAAAATAATCAAAGCCATTATTATTACTCTCTATAAAATCTGTGTTTTTATTCTATTAGATAAAAGGTGTCATACCACATCTTTTGATCATTATGTGGTAGGCATGGCCCAGCACTGTGCTGGAAACCTGGTTATGTCCGAGGGATCCCCGCTAGGACAAGTCACCCTAGGCTCTCCCATGGTGTCCAGTACAGCCCATCTCACCTCCACTGCCTCCAAGACCCTCCTGCAGGTTCTCCTCTGCTTTCCTAATCTCCTGGGCTAGAATCTCTCCATCACAAGGCCATGGAAGTGGCTGTGACCTCACCCTCAGAGGCTCCTGAGTCTGGGTCTGGCTCAGGCACCCCACTGGGAGGACAAAGGACATCAGGGAAAAATGGAAGTTGGGAACTGACTATTTGCTTGGTCAACTCCCTATTTTTAGAATAATCTTGAAAGGTCTCAGCTAGGGTGGGCACATAAAAGGTGAAAGGTGGTCTTATGGGGACATTAACATGACTTTTTCTGTGGTTCAATTTATTCTCCTAAAAAGGTCATTCCCTGTGCATGTCCTTCCTCTCCCCTATCTGACTGGTAGAAAGGCAACCCCCTCCACTGTCATCCATGGACAGAAGAGAGATAGTGTCTGCCAAAATTCACATGGAAACCCCTCTCTCTACAGAGTCCTGTCATTGAATGTTGTAGTCATAAAAATGTCACTTAGAACAGATGGTGATTTTTCATGCTGTTTTTCTTTTCTTTCTTTTTTTCTGCTTTACTTTCTGCATTAAGTTCTGAAGGCTCGGGGTATGTTCATTCTTTCTTTTTTTTTTTTTTTTCCTTTTTTTAATTTCAGTTTGTTTTTGGCTTTAAACTAGAATGTCTCAGTATTTAGTGGTCCCAGTCATGCTCCCAGACCGACAGTCGTGGAGGATCAAAGCCTCAGTGGAGGAGTCACTCGGAGGGAGGAAGCATTGATAAGGGAAGGGACATACCATGTCAGGATGCCTGGCAAGGCTGTGTCTCTGAGACCCTGAGTCTGGGTTAGACAGGCGTCCCCCGGAAGGTGGGCTCTATCATCAATGCCCTGAGATGGAACCCTAGCCCCCTCCCGAAAGGCCTTCAGCAAATCATAACATCTCCCAGAGCCTCCAGTTTCATCTGAAAAATGGAGTAAATTTTTTATTTCAAGAATAAGTACATCATAGGCAAGGTCCTAGCACTGTCCTTGACACATAGAAGGGCTTAATAGGTTCATAGAGGGTCCCTGTGCTGTGCAGGACCCTGGAGAACAAATGGACCAGCTCCTGGAAACCCTTTGGGATTGCCTATGGGAGCCACCAATAATGCCAGGCAAGAATTGCAGGGCCCTCATCCAAAAAGGGGCCCGCTCAATTCTGAGCAGTGAAGCTGAGATCCATGAGCCCCTGCTGGCTCTGCACAGGGGGCTTTGTTCTGTGGCCTCTGGCATAGTCATTAATGTCCACTTCCAGACACAGTCACATCTTGTTTCTGTTCAGTCTCTGAGCAAGAACTTACGTTGCTCCGTGCACTTTTCTCCCATGGTTCTGGGACCATGCTGCTTTTATCTTCCTGGAAGTGCTTATTGATGATCATCTCAGTGATCAGGAGAGATTGATAAGAGAAGGATTCTCTCCCCCCCTCCACCTCCTCCTCCTGAAGTCACTTAGCATCAGTCCCTGTTCTCATCCCAGCAGTGGCATTTTAGGGACCTACTGAGTGCTAGATCAGTGCCAGGTGCTTCACACCCCTCCTGCTTCATCCTCTCAGCCACTCCAAGAGGTAGGGATGATTATGCTCATTTACAGAGGATAAAACAAAGACGTAAAGAGGTGAAATAATTTGCCCTAGGGTGCGGAGTAGAGCCAGGATTCACGCCCAGTTCTGTCTAAACTCAGACCGTGAGAGGTCCCCAGAACTGCCGAAGGCTGTGTGCACTGTCTCCTGTGGGTGGAACACTTAATAATGCTGACAGAGGGTGCACAGGGAGTCCCTCCAGCTGAGTGATATTGGCCCTGAGGAGGGAAGGCAGGAGCAAAGGTGAGGGTGGGGGAGTACAAGGGTGCGTTTGGGGGTCTGGCAGGTGAGCAAGGTAGAGAGCCAGGCAGGGGGGCAGGCAGGGGCCAGGACGTGGCTTTTCTTCCTCTGCGGAGTAGCAACAGCTGAAAAAAAAAAAAAAAATGTTCAGCAATCCACGCAGTGGATGGGCAGAATTTCTAGACTCTTCCAACCACCCTGAATAGGACAGTTTCCAGAGGCCTGTGAGAAACCTTGGGGCAGAGTTGGGAGAGTCATCCCCTAGTTTTCCAGGCCTTTCTTTTCCTTTGAGTCCTAATCCTGCTCTGTAACCATTAGCATTTTGGGCCTGAGCCTTTTCAAGCTGGCAGAACAAAAGCGGCCACTGAGGCCAAGGAGAAAAGGGCGGAAGAAGGTGACCGCCCAGAACCTGTCGGATGGAGACATCAAGCTGCTGGTGAACATTGTGCGGGCGTATGACATTCCAGTGAGGAAGCCCCCGGCAAGGTGAGAGTCTCCTGTCCCCCTGGGACGGAAGGCGTGGGAGCCCGGCTAAGGCGAGCTTGTGGAGGATGCTCACTCTTGTTCTTAACATGGGTTCTACTCGGCGGGCCTGGGAGCTCTGGTTGAAGCCATGGCCTGTCCTGGGATGTAAGAGTCAATTCAGGTTAAGGAGGGCCTCAGTGGGACTGGGAAGAACATCTCATAGAAAGGACAAGAGGGACAGCTGAACAGCACGGTAGCCCCCCCAGGAGTTAAGATGGTTTTCCCGAGGCCCCACCGTCCCCCTCGCTGCTTCCCTCTGCTTCACTCTCACGTGAAGGCAGTGTCCCTACAGCCAGGGTACCCCAAGCTAAGCCTCACACCCCCAGGACAGAGTCTGAAGGTGCAAACTGGGATCAGGTGTCCATCCATGGTATAGTCACCTACAGCCAGAGGCAGGGTCACAGAAGAGAGTGCCAGCTGGGCAGATGCACCAGAAGCGTCAGCTCACGGTTTTTCCTTCCTACCTGTTCAGAGGACTGAGTTAGGACTACCATGGCCACTATCCTGGGGGCAGCAGGGAGCCCCCAACCACAGGTCAGGTAAGACGAGCCTGAGCTTCTGATGCCTTTGCAGAGCAGAGATAAAGGTCCAAGAGTTATACCTTCTTTTTGCTGCTGCCCTTTCCACTGTCACGGAAGAAGGAATACATTGTCCATTCCACAGGAGCAGTACCACACTAAGCATACCTGCGTGTTGTTTCAGCTAACGCTTAAACTGCTCTTCCAGCTCCATTCATTAGAGGGAAAATGGAAGGGGATGCCAGAGGCTTGGCCGCGGTCACTCAGCACCATCTGATTCCACAGGAGAGCGCCAGGCCAGCTGCTGGCCTCACTTTTTCCTCCTGCAATTCTTCGTTTCTCCAGCACTCCATGTGCTCACTCGCTGCTGCGCCCTGTCTTCTTCTCATAATTATTCTCCAACCTATTGCCATACATCTGTTGATATCCAGGCTCATTGCTCTGCTCCTTGTAAGTGTCCACCTGAGTCCTGAACCTGCCAGGGCCTCACTTTCCCGAGCCACCCTGACTGCCTCACTGTCATGTCCTTTCAAAACATACTACACTGACTGACTGACTGTGGGGTGAAAACCCACACATAAAGAGCTTACAGGTGTTTGCTCTGTTTGTTTTTTAAGAACATAGAGGCATTTTTTTTTTGTTATTTTTGGTCTCTACATAATATTTTGAAATATTAAATTGTTCATTCAGATAATTCTAGGACACACCATTGTTCCCTCATGCTCTGCATTTCAATGAGGATACATCCAGACAGTGCAGACATCAACTCTTCCATGAAACCTGCCCAAATCTTTACCCCCTACCCTGGCATCCAACCAAGCAGGATTTTCCACTTCCTTCTCTATGCTCCTATAGCCCATGCCCATGGCTGCAGTCACTTTATTGAGATTGCTTGTTTACCTGCCTGCCTACCAATGTAGTCTGAACTGACCTCTCCTATTGGATTTTTCGTCCTGAGGCAGACATAAGGCCTATAATAGAGTATGTGCTAAACAAATGGGTTCTTTCTTTCTTTCTTTTTTAATAACGTAACTGATGGTTTTCAAAGAGGAAGAAGAGCTGTGCTGTTAAATGTTCCACTTACACTGTCTCATAGATTGTCTGAAAACTTAACTCTGAAAAGGTGAGGGTCTGATAGAGACAGTTTGTACTTTGTTCAATAATGAATGCACAATAATTGGCAAACCCTAAAATTCAGTATAGATATGCAAGTGGGATGTTAGGATGGTGGGGGGGGAGGTATCTGAAAGAGGCTTTCTAGAGATAATCTTCGTGTCTTTTAAGAATGAAGCCATAGGGAGAAAGGGACAAGACCCTTTGGTCCTCACTGAAATTAGGAGTCCCCCAGCCTCCCTTTCCCAGTGAGGCTTGACAGGCCTTGCCTGGGGCAGGTAGCTCAGGCCATTGGAGATTATAGGTTCAGAGAAAATACAGTGGAAAGAACTGGAACTGGATGGAGGAGGGACTTTCTGGTCAGATTCTTTTACCCAGAGGGACAGACTCTCATTTCTGGGGGAAAAGTCAGGTCCCCACTCAGGCAGGCCCTGGGAGGGGAGGAGAGAGAAGGAACATTTTTCCTCTGTTCTCAGTCAGACATGCAGGCCTGGGAATGGAATCTGGGGAAGGCCCTCATAGCCACCAGGTGGCCAGGGAGGATCAGAGCATACCTAGCCTTCTGAAGTTTGATCAAGCTCAGGGACAACGGCTGTCACCACAGCCGCCAGGGCTCACATCTCTGAAGGAGACCATATTCTCAGTAGAATTAAATGATAACTCCTCGTATCATTTCTTTCTTTCTTACCTTTTCCCTCCTAGCAAATTCCAGCAGCCCTCGAGGTCCTCCAGGGCTTTCAGTGAAAAGCACGTTGCCTCCCCGAGCACACACAGCCCGGCCCACAGCCCCGACTATGCCCTCGGCCAGGTGAGAGGCCCCTATGCCAGGTTCAGCTTCCAGTCCTGCCCGTCAGGTTTTAAGAGCCACCTATAGACTTGATGGACAGTCCTGCCTCTGCTTCATGTTCTTTCAAAACATACTATTGATTAAGCATAGCCAACCACTACTAAGGACTAAATAATTCATCTACTCACGATGGACTTAGGATTTGTTCTTGCTTTTATTAAAGGTTTTAGTGCGTCCTTTTGTAGAAGTCTCTTTTCAACGAACAATTTGCCACACCACAACAGCTGAAGGGCCGAATCCCAGCTGGAATGAAGAACTCCAACTTCCCTTTAGGTAAGCATATGTTCCTCTTTAAAGAACTGTTGGATATTTTGAAAAAATGCAAAGGAAACAGAGACCCAGCAAGAAAAGACTAAGGCAAAAAGTTTGTAGCTGGTAAGCTCCAGATGCCAAGTGCCACGGTTTTCCTCTGGGGCCCACGGCTGACTGCGTTCAAGAATAAAAATGGAAAGATGTCCGAGTTGGGAAACCTGGGTCAATGTTGAGACACTCTACTTCTGTCCAGGTTCTGGCTTCTTACAGCTCAAATTTTCTCATCCCCTCACACCACCAGCCCTAAACTGCTTTTCCTTTCTTCCTCATGTCCTCTCCTAAGTGAATCTGAAACTCCCTAGTTCCCATAAATGACACTTTCTCCCTCACCAAAACCACACAAGCATTCCAGAACTTTGGTCAAAGAACTTTAGATATTTAAAAGATTATTATTTTAGCACTTGAAATGATCATCTAATCCAACCCTTTGCTTTTATGGAGAAGAAACTAAAAGCCACAGAGGGGAGGTGACTTACTTAAAACCACATGGTAGATTAGAGGCAGAGCAGGGATTACAACTAGTTAAGCCAGGACAGGGGGAAGATACCACTATGACACAGGGAGTGAGCAAAAGGAACAAGAAGGATTAAAGGCAATTGCTTAGCAAAACACCTGTTTTGCTCCAGCCACGCCATGTTCCAGGGAGTGGGCAGCGGGACCATTCAACAGCCACAGACAACAGGAGGCTTACACTCCAGTGGTCTCCCTGGAGATGCACCCTCCCAAGATGCTTAGGAAGCCCACAACCGACTCCAGAACCTCTGGAGGCCTTGTAGCTGGACACTGAGCCACCACAGTCCTGCCAAGATGACTCCTTGAGGGAGGGGGAATGGGAACAGAAAAGATAATAGAATGAATGGGACATAACTTTCCAACATTCATACATGAATACACGACCAGTGTAACTCCACATCATGTATGACCACAATAATAGGATCCTAATCAGAATAAGTTATAGCCCTACAGTATGTCAAAATACACATATACTGTCATGTATATCTAAAAATAACAAAGAAAGAAATTTTAAAAAAAAAACCAGAATAACTCCTTGCAAAGCTTATAGCCTCACTAGGAAGAGCCAGCAGAGGGTTTGGATGGGCACAGAGCCTCCAGTCGAGGGCTCTATGCATTGGAGTGTAGGTATGACATGGCACCATCCCTGACCGAACTAAATCCTTGAAATGACAGCACGGCTTCTAATCCCCACACCTGTGCTCCCACTTGTGTGTTGTTCAAATGTTGACATTTGAGTGCTCATAATTTCTATGCTGCCTACTTTCATAGTCCCTGTTGACATGTTATTTTGCAGGGCCCCTAATGGGGATTATAGCACAGCGAGTTTACAGTCAGTGAAAGATGATGTGTTTATTAATATTTTCGATGAAGTACTATACGATGTCTCAGAGGTAAGTTCTCAGTTTTAAGGAAACCATCTTAACTCTGCTCTTGGCAAACCTTCTACCCTCTACATAAGTCCTAAGCACAATTTCCATCTTCCTTGAGTTTGAAATGTTTGAAACTTGACACATACAATTGGGGAAAAAGAGATGGGGAAGAGAACTAGCTTTTTAAATTATCAGCTGAGTATTTGCTTTGCCAGAAATTTTATTAGTGCTCTGCATGCACTGTCTTATTCAATTCTGAAATAACCCTATGAAGTAGATCATGAAATCTCCAGTTCATTGATGAGAAAACTAAAGTTCCCAGAAACTAAATGGCTTTCCTAGGGTCACTTAATAAAGTGTCTGAGCCAGAACTTGATTAAGTCTGTATAACCCAGGTCCACAAACTTTCAGCTAAAATCCTGCTGCTCTCCTGCTGTCATATTAATTAAATGAGTGTCTGGAGTTCTTAAACAATTATTACTTCCCATGTGTCCTTTAGGACGACCGTGAAAGGGGAAGTGGAATCCATACCCGTATTGAGAGACACTGGCTGGGATGCGTGAAGATTCCATTTAGCACTATATATTTCCAAGCAAGGGTAAGTACCTAAAGTCGGGGTTCCATGAGAAAAAGGCATAGCTCGAACCATTTTTTCCTGTGAAAATCTCAACACTGAGAGAATATATCTGCAAACCCCCTGGAAAGAAGAAAATCACTGTATGAAGTCATTGATTTGCCTTCAGACTTGCATGGCTTATTAAACTTCTGTGTTCCTCAGAATTTGCAGTTACTGTAGGACTATTCAAATATGAGAATTTTTTAAACATTTCAACAGAAGTGAAGGTGGGACAAAGTGGAGATTTGTCAAAATGATAAAAATGAAATGGATGGTGCCTAAAAGTAATTTGAAGGAAACAATCAGGACAGTTGAGGACCCATTCAATGAAGTGCGTACATTAATAGTTTTGCGAGTGCACATTATTTAAAACATGAAAATCCATGAGCACAGGTATGCTCCACAAAGGCTCCCTTCTTCAGAGTTAGTCATTTTGCTTAGGGCATCCATTAGGTTGGCAACTCCTGAATGACTTAGTAGCTGTAATTTGGGACAGTTAAAGATTCTGAAATTTCTTTGACATCCCAGTATTAAATCCACAGCAACAGGAGCCCATGAGCCACTGCAATGACCACACAGAACAAATGCTGCCTAGGCCACAGACTCGAGCAAGACCAAGACCCAAACTCTAGTCTGAGAGGCTTGGATTGGTTGCAGTCTCAAGCATCAACTGGATTGCAGTTGTCTCTGGGAAAAAGGAGCAGTCTATAGCTCATGTTGCAGTGGTATGCTGGCCCAAAGAATTTAGGGCAAAGGGGAAGGAGAGAAGGGGAGGAGGCATGAGGGTAGAAAAGATGGTGAAATGAGATGGACATCATTACTCTAAGTATATGTATGAAGACACAAATTAAATGACTCTAATTTGTGTACAACCAGAGAAATGAAAAATTGTGCTCCACATGTATACTATGAATTGATATGCAATCTGCTGTCATGTATAACAAATTAGAACAAATGAATGAATGAATTTTTAAAAAGAATAAATTATAACTATTTTTTAAGGAAATTATTAATAAAATGATCTTTTACCTAAAAAAAAAAAGAATTTACATTTTCCTCTTGGAATAGATTTTAAATTAAAAAAGAAAAAAAAGAAAGAGCACATCATTTTTACAAATCAAACTATCCATAACATTTGGCTTTGCTGAATTTCATATTTGGAAGATATGCAGAAGTAGTTACTCAAAACTCTCCTTGGCCTTCCTTGGTGATGTTGAGGTTCTGCTGTGCCCCTGGAGCTCACTGACAAGACCTTCAATACCCTGAAGCAGTCTGTTCTCTTTCCCATGCTCTGCCATGGAGATTTCCCTTGCACTGTGCCATAATCCATATCCTTCCCTGGCCTTCCCGTCTTTAGGTCCTGGTTCTTTTCTCTGGAGCTACAAGTCGAATCCTGATTCGGTAACTATCCTGGGTGCACAATGCATACCATTGTTTATATGTAATCTTGATTAAGCCTTACCACACCTCTGGCATCACTAGTCCCATTTCGAAGATGAAGAAATGAAGCAGTTCAGTAACTTACTCAAATCACAAAGCCTACAGCACAGTTGGTATCCACCTTTTAATGACTTCCAAAGTGCTAGGAATGGTAGAGGAGAAAGAACTAGTCAATGTTTTGGTTTATATGCTTCATTATATCTTTGGAGATTTATTTCATTACATTTGTCTTTTAAAATCTTTTGTCTGACTCCAAATTCCATGCTTAAGTGTGGCAGAGGTTGCTATGGCATCTAGTGTACAGAGGCCCAAAATGCTGCCAAACACCTGAATGCACCGGACAGCCCTCCAGAACAGTGACCTGGCCCCCAGTGTCAACAGCACCCAGGTTGAAAAACCCTGTCTTAAATCCTTATCTTTGAAATTTTCTTTTTTTAAATTTATTTTTTTAGTTTATAGGTGGACACAATATCTTTATTTTATTTTTATGTGGTGCTGAGGATCGAACCCAGTGCCTCACACATGCTAGGTGAGTGCTCTACCTCTGAGCCATAACCCCAGTCCCCACTTTGAATATTTTAAGATAGTACTCATTCCTTTCTGCATCATCTACCTGTTGTACAGAAAAAATGTGCTATTATTTCATCTGTACTTTTTATGTGATTGCTTACCTGTCCACCCCCTACTCTATCATCTGATCAGATATAGGCTTTGGTGAGCTCTGTTAGTATAAGGAGAATAATAAATAAGAGCCTATTCAATTCAACCCAAAAAGTTCTATTCAGGTTGTTCAAATTTTAAGTTCTTCATTTCTCCTAAGATATAAATGTCACTAAAGACTGAAATAAAAATTGGATTCTCTGCAAACTTAATAATTAGTCTTCAATAAATTCGTTGCTGCTTTGACTTTACGAGAGTGAGAAAGTCCTGGCTTTTGAAACACTACATAAGTTAGTTCTTGATAAGTGGCTGATCAATCATTCAGCCCACATTTATTGGGCACCTAATGTGTATACAGAACACTTCCACATGTCAGAGAAAGATGATTAAAAAAAGAGGGGAAATATTGCAGGGAGTAATTATCTAGAAGAATATGACAGATGTGCACACAACTATAAAATCCAGCAGAAAACCATAATATAACATGAAATAAACTATACATAAAGGTGGTAGAGATAACAAAGTATTCATGAAAGAGACAGCACTTCATCTAAACAAGGCTAGAAAGATGTGATGGGCTTCCAATGCCAGTCTAAGTGATTTTTATTTAATAATGAGTTGAGATTTGCCTTTGAACTTCTGTTGGAAAATTGCCAGAATGCTTACCAAGTCATATTTTCTTCACAGATCGATGGAACATTTAAAATAGATATTCCCCCAGTTCTCCTGGGCTACAGTAAGGAGAGAAACATGATTCTTGAGAGAGGCTTTGATTCTGTCCGAAGCTTAAGTGAAGGTTCCTACATCACCCTGTTCATCACCATCGAGCCTCAGCTGGTTCCTGGAGAGTCAGTTCGAGAAAAGGTAACTCTGCTGAGGGTCTAGAACCGACATCCCCTGCCAGTGAAGCAGGAGAGGAGATTGCCAGGTGGAGCTTTATAAACTCTTCACCATACAAACAGATTCTCCTACTGCAATCTCTGTTTATTATTCTTTCAGTTTGAACAGAATGACAGTAAAAGAACAGATGTGTGGGTTTGCACTTCCACTGAGCCAATAATTAGGTCAGTCAGCAGTCTAAACTTTTAGGCAGAGCAAGACAAATGTAAACATGTTCTGCTTTTAGAAGAATTTTTCTCAATGTGAAGAAAATGAAATGTGACAAATGAGAACATCAGATTGCTCTTTCATTTGACATTTGCTGGCAAGCATGCTGAAATAGATTTCCATGTCTGACCTCACATCCCTGGCTGTGCTATCGAGTAGATTCATAGGCTCATAAGGCCAGATGACCTTCAAGGGTCATTACAATTCATTTCATGAAATAAACAAACATCTGCACAAGTACAGTTTTAGATAGCTCTAGAAAAAAGAATTTCTAGAACATCCATTTGTTAACAACTATTCCCAACCTTCATCATGAGGAAATAGCTTTCCTAATGTAAATGCTTACACAGCATTTACACACACTACCCTCGTTGGATTTGGGAGAAGATATTGATTGTGACCTCTTATGCATATGCAAACTAATCCAGTAGTAACAACCACCACCAATGTTTGAAGTCCCTTACTCTATCCTCAGCACTGTCAGAGGCTGGAGACGTGTTCTCTTCTTTCACACTTACAGGTATCTTGGGCATGGGTCTCCAACTTAGAGGTGAGAAAAGGCAGACTGTTTTTCTGCAGGGGCACACAGGTAGCACATGGCAGAGGTGAGACTTAAATGTCTGTCTAGCTCCACCTTGTATTCATTCAACCCACAGTACTGAGCATCCCCAGACCTCTAGGCACGTGATAGAGCAGTCAGACAAGCAGGTGGAGACTCCGCCCACATTACATCCAGCATGCCACATGTTGTCCACCTCCAACCTCTGAGTGCTGGGGAACTGCATATTTTGCTGACTCCAGTTTCCCATTGTAATTAAGATTCAGATGGAGATGGAAAAAAAAAAAAAAAGTGAGCACACTTCTGTTTCTTTTCCTGTATTACAATTTGGTTCATAGAGGAAAATACTTTTTATATTTCCATTTACTTCTAGGACATGAGGATTATTAGAAATACAAATGTACTGAAATTCAGATTAATTTTACATTCTAAGCTTTATCACTAATGCTCAGGTTCTCAAGAAAACATTAAAATACATGCATTTCAAAAATATTTTCAGAAAGGGAAATATATATTCTGAATGTTTGTCTTCATGTATAAACTCAAGAGAAGGATGACGAGTATATTTGCATGGAAGAATGCTCCCAGACAAAAGATGAGTTTGTTATTTCTATGAATTCTTAACAAAAGGAAAGGCAGTCGGACTGTTGGGAGCCAGACTGGAGATGAGCTTCCATAAAGCTACAGTAGTCTGAGACTGGCAGAAATGATGAAAACCTGGGACTGCTCTGTGCTAAGGTTCCTTCTCCAGCCCTTGCCTCCTGCTACAGGACCCTGCCAAGGTTTCCAGGGCTCAGAACAGGTCCTCAAGTTCTGCAGTCTTTCTTCCCTAATGCTGCCTTTAGTGGCATTTCACTGCCCCATTGTGGCTATATGAAGCATTTCTCTTAGATTTCTAAAAAGAGGGCTTATCCTTGGTTGCAGTTTAATAAGGCAGGCATATTGATTGACAGGGCCCTGGTATCCTTAATACCCAGTGACAGAAAACACCACCCCATAGTTCACCTGCAGACTCTTCAGGAGAGAGAAGTTCTCACCTGAAACAATTGGGAACACAACCTTGAGTTGTTCCGCCACTAACAGCAACTTCCAGGATTAGCAGATTAGAGTCCCACTATCCACATGGGCAAGTGTCAGACTCCCATATGGAGTCATTCCATATGATTTTTTAAAGGCATTTACGAATGTAAAAGTTTAAAGAATCAGCTCCTGAAACACTTATTTTAAGATTCCTTACTTTATATTGTCTTGGTTAAAAATTAGTTTTTTAAAAATATTTCTATTAATAAAGTTTTCCTCTCATTTCTTTTTTCTTCTTTCTTCCTTATGATAGCTGAGCATGCTTAAGAAGGTACCAAGTGTTTTTTTTCTACAGTTCATCAGTTGATAGTTACTAGGTTTAATTAACTGCTATCTCCACCATCCTGGGGGATAGGTGCTGGATCCTGATGCCTATGTGATCCTTTGGCAGTGAATATAGATGTCTGCAGGTCCATGAAGAATGTCCAGTTTGGGGCTGGGGTAACTAAGCAGTAGAGCATGTGCTTAGTGTATGCAAAACTCTGGGTTCGATCCAGCACTCCTAAAAATGTCCTGGACATTTTTATTTCATCCAAGTGAGTCTTAGTTGGCATTGAATTAAAAGGTCACCAGTATGAATGTCGCCTGCACACTGGGAGCATGTGTCCAGTTCCATCAAGTCCATGAGCTGCTTCTTAGAGACAGTGTACCTCTCACAATTGTTTCTGGTCTGTAGGGACTTCCATGTGTGACTGTTAAGAGGCAGGATAAACCCGTTTCATTAATTTAGAGATCAAAGAATGGAGCCAGCTAAGACTCCCCCAAATGTCATGTCCTATGAACTTTGAATTTAACAGTTCTGCCTAAATTTATTTCATAACAAACAACCCAAGCCAGGCACAGTGGTGCATAACTGTAATCCCAGTGGCTTAGGAAGCTGGGGCAGGAGGATTGTGGGTCCTAAGCCAGCCTCAGCAATTTACTGAGGCCCTAAGTAACTCAGGGAGACCCTTCCTCCAAATAAAATACAAAAAAGACCTGGGGATGTGCTCTGGTTAAGTGCCCCTAGGTTCAATCCCTGGTACAAAAAAAGAAAAAAGAAAAAGAAACAATACAACCCAGATTATTTTAGCATTTAGCTCTTTTCCTTGACACTTAAATCACCAACATAGTATACTACTTAAATTCCTGCTTCATGACATAAAATGGCATCCTGGTGGCCTAAATAACTATTAATGCCATTAATACAATATTAGGTGGTTAACATGTGCATGCTGTTGTATGGAGAAATGCATTCAAACACAGGCCCTGCCCACAATTCACTGCTATAGAGTTAAGATACCGAACATCAAGGGAAAGTGGTAGAAAACGTTCCTGATGCACTTTTATCCACCTGAAAAGCCAGTAATCAGTAAGGAGTCAAGATCTGTGTGTTCTTCCTGGACAGTGCAATAGCTGCTTCTCCTAGCTGCTCCCATAGCACCCTGTGCTTGTCCCCATAGAAGCTCTGGGCAAGGAGTTGAGCACCTGGTGGCTTGTCAATGTTCCCCTCCAGGCTAGAAGTTCCTTAAGGGGATTATTTCATACTCACTTATCCAGAATACGGGGACTCTTAAAAGCTCAGTAAACATTTTTCAAGTAATTGGATGAATAAGTAAATAAACGGGTTTAAAGGAACAGGGATAAATTCAGGTGGGTATCTTTTTTTGCACCATTTTTGTTTCATAGTTTTCCATCTTTTTGAAAGTACGATTATTTCTGGCTTCACAGTTCTATCCTAGGAATCTGTGACAGACATTTTACATTTGAGATGTTAGGTTTCTGAGCCTCCCCCTCTTAAAACTAACATTAAAATACACATAAAACTCATTGCTTGGGCTCATCGATCAGAATTAGTATGCCGTAGTTTGTTTTTTATAGAGTATTTTAATATTCCCAATGGTTTCCACATGGCTGCTTTGCCTGTTTACTACTTTCTTTTAATCCTATAGAATGTATATTTTAAGTGTTTAATAAATCAGTCTAATTAATTATAAATATAATTAAATAAAGCTGCAGGGACACCAAGATGTGATGGTTTTATAAAGATTCATTGTCAAGCTTCCCAAACCACACTAAATAGTTCATGCTGTCGCGTCCACACATATACCACTTTGTCTCCCATGATCATATGTTAAACCCATGGAGTCTTTCTTTTTGAAGTTTGAGTCTCAGGAAGATGAGAAATTGCTTCAAGCAACAGAGAAGTTTCAAGCTGAATGTGCCTTAAAGTTTCCAAATCGTCAGTGCCTGACAACAGTAATTGATATAAGTGGAAAAACTGTGTTTGTTACCCGGTATCTCAAACCTTTAAATCCTCCTAAGGAGCTCCTTAATGCCTACCCCAGTAATCCACAGGCAACAGCAGTAAGTACTCATTGCCAATTATGATGTTACTAACAATGTTTTAAAATTTTAATATATTGCCACTGTACCATATTTCATAGTATTTAAAAGATATTTCCTGGGGCTGGGGTTGTGGCTCAGCAGTAAAGCGCTTGCCTAGCACTTATGAGGCTGAGTTCCATCCTGAGCACCACATATAAATAAATAAATAAATAAATAAATAAATAGATTAAGATAGATAAATAAAATAAAGTTTAAAAATAATATTGTATTATAAAAAAAAGATTTCCTATATCAAGATCATTGGTGATGAAAGTAATGATTGAGACTTTTTTATTGCCACGGGGCTTATTTTCTTTAGAAGAGTCTGCAGGTCCCAGGGATGACAATAAATAATCCTTAATTCATTCTTTCAATTAATAATTTGAGTGTTTACTAAGTCCCTGGCATTATATTAGGTGGTGCATATTTAACATATGAGAAGGTAATTTTGCATTTTTCAAAATGTCTTATGTAAACATGTAACTTAGGTTATGATAAAATAACTATTTGGTACTATGCTTACAGCTAGAAGAATTGTTGATTAAAATTAAGCAAAAAAAAAATATTTCAACAATTTAAGCATTTTCAGCACTTAGGTCATCACTCCAAAGGACCCACACACTGGATCGTTAAATATACCCGTTCCATTTGCTGACTTCAAAGCACCACGCCCATCACAAACTCATGAACCAGAAGTCATATGTTAAACAGGACATTTACATGAGTAACCCATAATGTTTTTGGAGAATGGGCAGCGTAGGGAGTGACTGCTGCAACAGTCATTCACATAAAGATTTAGAAATAAGATTTTTTTTGCAGATGTAGATATATTTAAAAAAAAAAAACAACTTGTGTTCTACATGTCATTTCTTCAAGTAATTTTTATTGGAAACCATAATAAGGACTTCTATTCTGTCTAGCAGAGTAATGTACAGAATATTTCTCCCAGTAGAGAACATTTACAAGTGATAATACATTAAATGTTTCAAATATTTTAAAAATCATGGCTGAAACAGAAGTAAAGTGAAGGGGGCGGGGGAGCGGTAAGAAATACAGAGACAAGAAACAAGAATGCAATATTCTACAAGGGCGAGGGCTTGAAATAGTGTCTGCTGTCCTTCCTGACAACTAGAGCTGAGTTTCAGTGAGCCGCAGGCTGTGGGAGATGGGAGACTTAGAGCAGGCTGGAAGCTTAGAGACTCAGGTGGAGATGAGTGAGGGTAAGGGCCTTAATGGATAAAGTGGGAAGTCCCTGCCCTGAGAAGGAATCCAGCTGCCTAGCTTTGCCTCTGGATGAAAGAGAAATAAAGAGTAGTTTTTTTTTTCCCCCCTGGGTTCATTCCCAGCATCCCTCCCCGCCAAAAAGAGTCTTTCCGGAGAACTCCTAATCGTTAACCTGTGGGATCACAGGTTAACTCTAATCACATGTGGGATTAGAGTTTATATTGTCTGTAGGACCCAAAAAAACTTCAACCAAAAATTTAGTTGAAAGTATTCACTTTTGGTAACAATCCCAGATCCCCATCAAAAGCAAATACAAATCCTTCTAGAAGAAAGTCATTTCATCTCAATGAAGAAATAAGTCACCATAAAGAAGGTTAAGAATTAGCATAAACAGGGCTGGGGTTATGGCTCAGTGGTAGAGCACTTGCCTAGCACATGTGAGATCCTGGGTTCGATCCTCAGCATCACATAAAAATAAATAAAATAAAGGTATTGTATCCAACTATAACTAAATAAATAAATAAATAAATATTTTTAAAAAGACTTAGCATAAACAATAAGACGACAAATCTGGCCACAAAGACTATAGACAGATTTATCAGTACAGGATGTAAAATAAATATTGTTTTTAGTTAGCTTTTTCACTGCTGTGTCTAAAAGACCTAACCAGAACAACTTTAGAGGAGGATAAGTTTGTTTGGGAACTCACAATTTCAGAGGTCTCAATCCACATACATCCGGCTCCATTCCTAGGAGGAATAAAGGTGAGGCAGAACATCATGGCAGAAGAGTGTAGTGGAGGGAAGCAGCTCATGTGCTGACCAGGAAGCAGAGAGAAACTCCTCTCCCCAAGTGCAAATATATACCCCAAAGCCACGCCCCCAATGCCCACCTCCTCCAGCCACACCGCACCTGCCTCCAGTTGCCACTCAATTAATCCCATCAGGGATTAATCCACTCATTAATTTAAGGTTCTCACAAGCAGTAATGAAAAATACAATAGTTATAATTAGAAATTAAACAGATTCAGTGGAACATTAAATACAGAGTTAGTGAACTAGAATGCACATACAAACAAGTTACTTGGAATACACACAGGCATAGGAAGATAGAAAAGAATGCTTAGAGGCAGGGGACATGCAAAAGGAGGTCCAAACTGTGTAAAATGGAGTAAGATGATACTCAAATAGTCTAAGCCAGGAGTTTCCAAGACAATCCTCTGATTCAGGAAGTCCAGTAAATCCTAAGCAGGATAAATAAAAAGAAATCAAAATCTAGGCAGAACATAAAGATTAAGATAATCTTAAAAGCAGTCAGAAAACATAGATTATCTACAGAAGAAAAATGATTGGAATAACAGACTTGTTAGTTGCACAATGAGCCAGAAAAGAAGACTCTTGACAAGGCTTACAAAATAGCCTTTTGTCAAACTAGTAGTTGATAGTCAGGGAAACTGACCTTCACACAAGTGTTGTGAGAATCACAACTAAAAGATTCTTACTAAAGGAATCACAAAACATATGGACTGAATGTGAAAGGAAAATCCTAAATAGGACACACAATTCTTGGTGAAGAAATGGGAAACTTGTGAGTGAATCTACAACATTGTCATGTGGTGTGTGTGTGTGTGACCCCCAGGTCCTTGTGCATGCCAGGCAAGGGCTCTCTACCCATGAGCTGCACCCACAGCCCACACACACTGTCTTACAAGCCATAATAATAGCAATGTGGGTGAAAAATAGGTACAACAAAAATCATGAAAAAAGTGTGAACGTGTCAGGACAGGGCTGATGAGAGTATTTTAATGCCCTTGATATTCTTCAAAATAAAGGCAAAGATGCTAACTTTAGAATTTCATTTAAATATACATATTGAAATTTCTAGATTAGCCCCTGAATAAATGATAAGGGTGTATTTAACTTCTAAACTAGCAAGAAAGAGAATGAAACGGGGTGAAGAGAGTTGGAGGGGAAAAAGAATCAGAAAAAGTATGGAAAGTAAAAATACAGAATAAGATGATAGGAATAATGTATGACAGAAATAAGTACAAGTCAAAAAGAAAAATGTAACCACATTAAAATTGAGAACTTGAGGGGCTGAGGATGCAGCTTAGTGACAGAGTACTTGCCTAGCATGTGGAAAGCCCTGGGTTCAATTCTCAGTGGTGGGGTTGGATTGAGAACTTGAGTTTATCCAAAGACACCATAAATAAAACGAAAAATCAAGCCACAAATCAGGAGATGATATTTACAACAAATATAATACAGAAAGGGACAGACACAGAATAAAAGCCAAAAAAAATCCTCTTACATATCAGTATAAAAATGTGCAAAAATTCAAACAAGTAGAAACATGGATAGGCCAATAAACATGGCATGATAACCTCGTTAAAAATTTTAAAATATGAATTATAAATACAAGGATGTCCATATCTTGGTTCTTAAACACCATCCCCTCAGAAGTGAACCAGACTCCTTGGAGAAATGCTGCCTTTAAGACTGGGCTAAGGAAAGTACACCATGACCAGGAAAGTACACCATGACCGGGAAAGTCCTGTTATACCTGAAAGTGAAGAAGTGGAGAGGGAGGAAAAAAAAAAAAAAAGACCAGGACACTTCAAAGGAACACAGAAGCCAGTTTCTTCATCTGTGAAAGATAAATAATAGCCATAACCTTCTGCATAGGATGTCTGGTGAGGATTAAAGTAATACAATAGCAGTTTCATAATGAGCATCACTGTTTGTGAAATACGAAACTTACTTTAAGAAATGCGGTAGGGAGGGGGCTGGGGTTGTGGTAAAGCACTTGCCTAGCACATGTGAAGCCCTGGGTTCAATCCTCAGCACCACATAAAAAAATGAATAAACAAATAAAGATATTGTGTCCCAACTACAACTTAAAAAAAGAAAAAAGAAATGTGGTAGGGTTTGATGCTTTCTATTTTTTTGGAAACAGTTTTTTAAAGCTGATCTTGTGTCTACAGGAACTGGTAGCTCGATACGTGTCCTTGATTCCTTTCTTGCCCGACACTGTTTCATTTGCCAGTATCTGTGACCTCTGGAGCACCTCTGATGTAAGTTGCTCTCCCTCTCAGGGAGAGGTTTACTAACTTGAGCTAACTTAGCTGAATCTCTCTAAATGGCTTGCAAGTCATCTTCAACTGGAACATTCATTTGCCATCAAAAATAAAATCCATTTGACCATATTAACTAAAATTCTGAAGTATTTCTCTTCCTGGTTCAATTATCCCAAAGTTCCTAAGTTAAAAAAAGAAAGAATAAAAAAATGACACTTCAGATGTCTTAATGCTGAATTGTCCATCTAGTATTATTACCTTCATATACTGAAGTATATGAAGACTTAGCTGAGTCTTAAAAAAATCAAAATTGCACTCTATATTATAATTGGAAATGGTATATTCATTAATTCATGGACTTCTTAAGGCATGTCATATCATTATTTATTTAGGACAGTCACCTGCCACATACCAGGCACTATACTAAGGCCTAAATGTGAGAAAAATCTCCACTTTCATGGAATTTACAATTGATGTGTGGTGCATAAATTTCAAAGGAATCTTAGGTAGTACAAAACAAACATCACAGATACTCATTCTGTTTCTGAGTCTCATGTTGCACTTTTTGCATTACAGAGTATTATACAGCTTCCTTTGAAGGATAGTACTACATTGAAGAAATCAAGTACACTTTATAGTTTTTGTTCCCCAGTATATTTTGGCAACATAAGCTTTGATAATTTTAGAAATAAAATTCTATAACCTTGAGGGATCTATAAGAAGCTATGTGAAGACTAGAATAGTTCATGTACCCTAGAGGCAGACTGGCCATACCACTGCCTGGGGATTGCTTTATTGATCTGTGCCTCTACTTCCTCCTCTGCAAAAACTTGGAAACAAGAATACTTTCCTTAAAAAGTTAATCTAGGATGAAATAAATTCATGCATAAAATATACTTTAAAAATCACTTAGCACATAGTGAACTTTCATTTATATATGAAAACTAAAACTTTGAAATTAGTGTTTTCCCTACCCCACCCCAATCACACTGGGTGTTAATTCTTGAAATCCACATTGAAAGCATCAGTGTTAAAGAAAACGTCATGTTCACCAGAAGTATTTTTGCTGTTTTAAAGATTATCAACACAGGGTCAACATTTTGGGAAAGATTTTAAAAACAAGTCTCATGCTTTAAGAAACTAATTTCAACTATGACTTACTAAAATCTGCATGGCCAATCCAGAATGAAGCAGTCAGTCAATACAACATTTTTTTTTTCTTTTTTGTCAGCAATTTCTTGATCTCCTGGCAGGAGATGAGGAAGAGCATGCAGTGTTGCTATGTAATTACTTTCTGTTCCTGGGTAAGAAGGCCTGGCTGGTGATGGGCAATGCTATTCCTGAGGTAAGACACTTAGGCTGGCTTCAGCAGAAGAGTGTGTTTGTCTAACCCACTTAAATGTTCAGATCATGGCTAGAACTTGTTTTCATAATAATTCTCTCAGTTTCTCAGAAAGTAGCCCAGAGATACCTTAACTACCATTGGTAACATATGAAATGGTTTAACAAGGTACTAGCGACCCTACAAAGTACTTCTAATTGTTTTTTTTTTTTTAAGCAAGCCCAGAACTTTTACCATCCAAAGTCCTCATTTAACAGTCCTTTTAGTATAAGCTTTCCCTGTCCACATTCCTGAGCATTCTGATTCCTTTAGGAATCGCATGTTCTGCACCCTAAGGAGGGAAAAGGATTCAAAGCAGTGTGGTGAGGCGAGAAATCTCTCCTTTCATGCCCACTGCTTCTATGAGATGTATGCTAACTTGGCAGGCAATGGGGACAAGCCAGATAACCCAGGAGCAAAGAAAAGAATGTTGACAGCTATATCTTGATGTTAGCATTGCTATTTTTATGAAATTGCAGACATAGTGACTATCTGAATTTTGGCCACAGGAAATATCCCCCAAATTTGGGCAATGATGGGTACTTGTGGATCCAAGGATAGAAATTTCACATGGGTTGAAGCAGATTACCCAAAGAATATTTCAAAAAGAGGCCATAGAGGTCAGGTACAAGGACGCTCTAGGAATCCCTGAGAATTAGATAGCAAGAGTTGCTGGCTAGCTCAAGGGAAAGAAGAGTAAGCTCAGAAGCATAAGACCTGTGTTCAAGGTTCCATGTCTACACCTCATTAGCCAAGTGACCCTAAGCAAGTCACTTCACAACTTGAAGGCTATTATAAATAAGCATATTGTAAAGTGAAATCATGCATAAGCAATAAATAAATAAATCATTGTAATAAAAGAATCTACCAATACACAAGTATTGTGGGCAAAAAGTAAAAGTCCCTCTTCAGGCTCCAACCCTAAGCCCACTCTCCTCCAAGTATAGTCACTTTAACAGTTTTGTAGATATCATTTTACGCCAGTAAGCCTTCCATCATGGAGACAAAATAGCTGAGATAATCAGCTTACAAGGGGGAAAAATGTATTCTGGCTCATGATTTTAGAGGTTTCGCTCTATGTTGGGCCTGTGATGAGGCAGGACATTATGATAGGGAGTGAGTGGTGGAGCAGAACTACTCACCTCATGGTGGCCAGAAGCAAAGAGAGAGCACTTTGGTGATAAACCCCCTCCCTCCAAAGCCACAGATGAAGGATCCATTCATAAGATCAAAGCCCTCAGGATCTCATCATCTTCCAAGGCCCCACCTCTGAACACTGCTGCACTGGGGACCAAACCTTAAGTATGTGAGCTTTTGGAGGACAGGAAAGATTTAAACTATAAGACCTTTCAAATCTTCTATGCATGTACCTAATTACAAATATGAATCAAATACCTTATTTTATTCAAAATAGTATTCAAACATAATCAGCTTTCTTGATGCCTGGCATCAAGAAAAATGGCAATTTTACTGACTCTAACAAGAAATGCCAATGACTGCTTATTTCCACTAATGATAGGTCATTCGTCAACCAATTGTAAAATATTCTGGTTGGGTGACTATTGTCTTTATTTGGTCACTATACTAATATCAGACACAAAAAATTTCCCCAAAAAGTTTATTTCATTTTTAAAGTCAGTACAACTCAGAACTTCAAATTAATGTTTTCCATTCACCATGGGATTTTAAAAATTAGAGGTTCAACTAAAATAATGAAACATCTATGCAAATTACTATTGACTTTATTTACATCATTAATTGGAAACTGTTTTTAATGGATATTTCCCTTCAGGGTCCAACTGCCTATGTGCTAACTTGGGAACAAAATCATTATTTAATATGGAATCCTTGCAGTGGACATTTTTATGGACAATTTGATACGTTCTGTCCTCTGAAAAGTGTGGGCTGTTTAATTGGTCCTGATAATGTGAGTAATGCCATTTCCTTTTAAACATGGTTGGTTGATTGTTGATTTCTTTTCTTAAAATTGATCAATTGATTTAAATATCCTGTATATCCAAAAACATTATATAAATACACACACACACACACAACTGAAAAAATGTGGTGGCAAGAACAGTGGCAGAAGTAGTCATCTAAACGGTCCTAAATAAAACTTTTCACCTCACCTGCAGAGAAGCAGAATGAAATTTTAAAATATGGGATTTAGATTCAGAGAACCTGAGTTTCTGCCCTGGTTCTATCTTCAGTTTTCTGTTCTAAAATAGCACGTACAATGCCTAACCCATTTAAAAACTAAATAAAGATAACTTATCTCCTAAGAAGAATGGGTTACTTTCTCTCCCTCCCTTTCTTCTTTCTTTGCAGAACAGGGGATTTAACCTAGGGCCTCACACAGGCTAGGCAAGTGCTCCACCACTGAGCTATACCCCAACTCCCTTTTTCTTTTTTAAAGGGAGATGCCCATTTACTACTGTAGAAATGATTCTGTCATGGGCGGGGTGGGGTGGGGTGGGTGATTTTATTATGAAGGGTACTGTGTAAAGCAGTGTTTACAAATATGAGTTAAGGGGTCAGACTGCCCGGGAGTTGAAACTCTTATCATTTACTAGTTGTGTGAGCTTGGGAAATTTCTTAATCTCTCACAAACTGTGTCTTCATTGATAAAACAGAGGTGATAGTGGGGTCATTGCTTCTAAGTAGAAAGTGACAATAGAGTGGTTGTGGGAAGTATATGAGATAACTGATGTGGAACACCTGTCGCATACTAACAATGCACCTATTGTTGGTTGATTGTGTTTATACTCATCATGTACTCACTGCTCTCTGAACTTTGTGTATCTGTCAGTAAAAAGTGTGCAGATAACTCCAATACATGTGTTTTTATTTATAAATTATATATATTTACATGTGTATCAATATTTTATATTACACAAAAAGCACTTTAAAAATAAACATAAAAAAATAGAAGATCTAATATTTTCTTCCCATTCTCTGGAGTGTGTACCCTACTTTGAAGAAAACTTGTTTACTTTTAAGGCTACAGCTAAATTAGAGGTAATATATGCCAAGCGCCCATCAAAGTACCTGCCTTTTATGGTGTCCAGCAAATGGCTACTCCTATTAATTATATTTCACATTATTACAAATGTGAAAATAGTACTGTGGAGCACTATGTTAATTATTACTTTTAATCAAAGTCTTTGTCATAATCATAAGTGATCTGCTAAACTCCTTCTAGGTTTGGGGTATCAAGGTTATTAATAATCAAACAGGGTCAATAGGCATTGAAAAATCCTTTGAAGAACTTTTTTTTTTTCTTTCAAAACTATTGTTAGCTCTCAAGACAATTACTGTATGGTTGCCTAATTCTCCTAAAGGCAGTGACAGGGGCTCATGATGTGCACCCCAGTGGCAGCTGTCCTAACCCTGCTCTAAGCCTGACTGTTCCCAGTGGAGGACATGTTGTGGCTGCAATGGCCTGGCACTCTCAAACCTCACCTGCTCTCTACCCCACCACACAACCTCTTTGGATGATCAGTCCTTTCTCTCCTTCACTCCTTTTCTAAGAATTAAGCTTCTCCCCTTTCCACCATTCCTACTCCAGGACCTGGCTCTCCCAATTGACTCAACTTCCCTCTAGATGTTTTTGCCTGTCTACCTATCTATTTGCTTCAGAGTCCAACAATTCTAAATTATGCTTTTTCCAACCTGAATGCACTCTGAACTGCTACTGCCTGCCTTTCCTTTCCTTCTAGAATTCTTCAAATACTAGTTATAACTCCTCTTCCCTTTGTCAGTATTCAGACCTTAACCCACCATAATCTAGCTCCTCTTTCCTGACATTACTACAAAAATTAAACTCAACAAGTACCATTGTCTTGCTAATAAATAAATCCAATGGCTTATCCTCATTCCTCACTCTTCTCTCCTTTTCCAAATATGTAACACAGCTAATCCCTTCTTCAAAAAAAAAAAATCATGTTCCCCTCCTTGGTTTTGTTGATAAAGGACTAATGTTTTTCATTTTTTTTTGCAAAAGCTTCCTCCCCCCACCCCCGAATTGGCTTTTTTTCTCACTCCTAAAATAAATAAAAGACCATAAAGATTCCATATTTAGATTTTTCCCAGGAGTACACCTATTATTATTAACTATGATGCTATATGTAAAACAATAGGTGTGATCCTGAGAGAAATCTAAATACAAGTATTCTGGGTCCCATGTAAAAAGTAAATGTCCCTCTTAGGTTCCAGCCTCAAGCCCACTCTCCTCCCAGGCATAGCCTTTTAATTCCCACTGCTCTTATCCTCATCTGCTTTCTCCACCTTGCTCACTCCTTGACAGTCACTTTGTTCTCCATCAAACACATCGAGCACACATTGCCTGCTGTTTTCCCCATATAAATGACCACCCTCCCCTTATTAGATATCTTTGTAAATTTTTCCCCCTTTTTTTTATTTTTGTATTTCTGATTGAAGGTCACTTTTGTAGGGAGAACTTCCCTGTCCACATTAAAAGTTCATGTTCCTGCCTGTTTGTTTCTCCAAAGCCTTCATAGTTATTGCCACATTGATAACAACAAAAACACATTCCCAACCTAAATAGCTTCAAACATTTATTCTCATGGGTCTGTGAGTCAGCTGCAAGGGCTGTGTTAATGGAGGGAAGGCTAGGCAGCTCGGCTTCTCACTGCAGACCTCTGAGTAGCAGGGAACAGCTTTGCTTCATGTGCTTAATCTGGAACTTGGGAAGAGGCACAAATGGGCAAGCAGGAACACACAAAGCCTTTTTTATTTTTACATACTGATAAACATTTATTTGAATTTCTTTTTCTGAAACCTGCCTGTTTACACACAAAGCCTTTTAAATGTAGACTGACACTTCCATTCCAGTCTACTGGTCAAAAGTCAAGGGGCAGGGAAGGCTGTTTTGTCCCTTACAGTGGAAGGATCTTAACAGTAACATGAAAAAGGATATGACAATGGGACTAGGGATCACTCTTCCACCTCACTGTCATGTGGTACCCCAGGTATTACTTTTTTACTTGTTTGCTGTAACATCCCCTTAGACCCATGAGGGTAGAGATCATTCACTACTCTAACCCCCATGACTAAGCAGGTACTGGTTAAATATGTTGAGTGAACATTGAATTAAATACTTAAATACATTGCATGAACAAACTGACCACTCATGCAATCACTTAATACTATGACTACATGCTAGGAGCTCTGCTAGATGCTAAAGGTATTATAGTGAATAATGTCCTCAGGCAATAAGTGTGGTGAGGACATGGATGAATAGATAGGCAATCAGAAACAATGATAAATAATAAAAAGAGCTAACAACTATTGAGCACTTACTGCATACCAGGCATTGTTGTAAGAGGTGCAGATGAATTAACTTATTGAAACCGCTCAACCTTCTGAGATTATTACTATTTTTATCCCACTTTTATGGAGGAGTAACCTGTGACACACAGAAGTTACATAAACCATCCAAGGTCACACAGTTGTAAATGTTGCAAGCAAAATTCCAACACAAGTGATCTTGCTCCCCAACCAGTATGCTACACTGCCTCAACATGACAAGTGTCATCTCAGAAACTATGAGTGGCATGGAAACAAAGAAGTGGCCAAACAACTCATTTAGGAGGCTTTCCAGAAAGGGCACTGTCAGGAAAGTCTAGTCTGTGTTCTAAAAGTGTTCACGTTTCTTACCATCAGGAACTACCTTATTTTACCAGACCTATAATCAACAATTTCAGATATTAAAAAAAAAAAAAAGTGAAAAATGGCCAATGATAACTGTGAAGCCCTGATTGTAAAATGGGTACAATTTTTAAATCACAAAATGACAAAAGGGGCAGCCTGTGGAACACCTGGTGTCTCTGCTGCCCCTCTGTAATCATACACACATACATGCATGGGCGTGAACATATGTATCTGCTGACCTATATGCTCATGTAATTGTCTTTTTTAGATTTGGTTTAATATTCAACAATATGATTCTCCACTAAGGATAAATTTTGATGTCACCAAGCCCAAGCTGTGGAAATCTTTTTTTTCAAGAAGCCTTCCATATCCTGGCCTTTCCAGTGTTCAGGTATTATTCTTTTATTAAGACTTATGAGGCTAGGGCTGTAGCTCAGTGGCAGAGTGCTTGCCTAACTTGTGGGAGGCACTGGGTTCAATCCTTAGCACCACAGAAAAACAAATAACCGCATTCTGTCCATCTACAACTACCAAAAAAAACAGACTTATGGACAGGAGATTAAGGGATATGAAATCATTATACCAAGATAACTAGGTTCTTCTTGGCCCTCAATTTTATTCCTAGGTATTTAGAACAGAATTTGCTTTACAGACTATTTGAGCCAAATTCACACTAAGTAACACACGTTTACATATATGAGACAACTAGTAAATACATTTTAGACATGTGTAAGAAAAAGTTATGATATAAAAAGCCCCACGACACAAAGCACAACAAAATATATTCGACTTAATTTTTTTAAGTACTGGTCTCAATTTACTAGATTGATTTCACAACTATGCCAATGAAATGTGAAGTCAAATTGCAGGTCCAGTCTACTAAAAGGCTCATTTACTCAAGAGAGTGCTGGCCTGTAAGTGGTTAGCATGAGCATTGTTCACTAAAACTTTTGTTTCATTTGATAGCTAGATATGTTATGCATTACTAGGTTTGTGAGGTAAAACATAAGTATTTTTACTGTGGCACAAATCTTTGGAAAAAATTAAAAAACTTTGCCCTAGAGAAATCCTCCCATAAGTCAGAAAGTGAAATATGAGATTTTTCATAGCAACAGGGTTTAAAATAGTTTAAGAACTAGAATGATAAAAGAGAAATTATAGTACATTATAGAATATTTTGTAGTAATTAAATCAGTCAACATTAATGAATCTTATTAAGCACTCTAAATATGTTTGCCATTATCCCTAATACACTGAAAGAAAAAGCAATATTCATAAATTATTAAAGTTCAGAAAACATGCAAAACAACATAATATGTTGATTAGGAGTACTTGTGTCTACAGTTAAATCACAAACACATACTATTAATTTGCCCATTTCATTTATTACAATGTAAGTACCATTAAGACAGATTTTTATTCATGGCTATATCCCTGTTTTCCCATGACCTGGGAAAGTGCCTGGCAACAGTAGGTACTCAGTATCTGTTGAATGCAGGAATGTTAAAAGACAAATGCAGGTCAGTTACTTCTGTTATGAGAAAGAATAGAATGAAATTAAGAAGGAACTTCAGAGCACTTTAATTACTAAGGTGGATCATAGGCCCATTGGGATCCCTTATACTATTCTCTTTATCCAGTAAGACATTCATATCTGAAATTTCATTATTAAAAAAAAAAATAAAGTTGTAAATTTAGAAAAGGAAAGTACACTTATTAAACTTAGTGTAGGTGATTTCTCCCATTTCTGAACTCTCTTATAGCCTGAAGAGCTGATTTATCAACGAACCGACAAAGCAGCAGCAGCTGAGCTCCAAGACAGGTAACATAATGTTCCTAAATTCACATGTAATCTGCCACTAGAAGTGTAATACCAAACTTTAACAACTCTCAGCCTGGATCAATATGAAATAATTAGGGCAATTAAACTTTAATTCATGTTTACAGATACCAAGTATACACGTGATCTTTAAATCCCTGGCTCAAAATCAGGTTTTAGCATCAGCATTGTGTGAAACAAAAGTGAATACCAGTAACACATAGTTCTCCAAAGACCTTACCTCAGGTATTAACATAATAATATCATGTTATTATGGGTCTTGTTGAGACATATCATAATCCTCAGCTTAAATATGCCTCTTGGTCCAGTTAGTGGCTTGTGGAACTTCAGCTAGTTTATGACCCTGATCCATGGAGAAGGTCAGTAAGAGCTTATAAGAGTCTCTATAATTCCATTCACCTTGTAAAATAGAATGTATTCTCCCAGTTTTATAAATGCAGAAACCAAAGTTCAGAGTAGCCCACGTATTCATTAAGTGTTAAAGGGGTCAGAGGTTTCTGTGTGCCATTTCCATTAGATACAAGTGATGTGAAGAGCATGTTAAGTTACACAAGATTAAATGAGACTCCTTTTAAAACATTATTACTAGAAAACAATAATTTACTCCCAGTTTCTCTATAAAACCTTATTTGGGATCCCCATCTAGAACCACTAATCTCCTACCTGCTTCTTCTAATAGCTTCATTATTACTGCTGATTAGTCCCAATATCAAAGTGCTGGGGGCTGGGGTTGTAGCTCAGTAGTAGAGCACTATCCTAGCATGTGTGAGGTGCTGGGTTCAATTCTCAGCACCATATATTAATTAATTAATTAATTAATTAAAATAAATAAAGATCCATTGACAACTGTAAAAATAGTTACACAAAAAAAATCAAAGTGCTTAGTAATTCATCCATACCTGAACTCAGACCAAACTGAACCCAAAACAAAATTTGTTCAGTGCCAGAAAAAAAAAGTTATTCTATGACTCCTGAGCAATGGGAAGTAGCTAAAACTCCAAGTCTGCATTTGGTTAGAAGATGTACGGGAGGCCTTAAAAATCAGCCTTGTTTCAATTTGAACCTAAGCTCTCATCTTACTTCAAAAACATCCCCCCCATGAATAGATGACACTATCCCCTACTTCACAGGGTTATTGCTGGGATTCCATAAAAATGTATAAAAAGCATTTACCACCATACCTGGTAAATAATGGCTCAATAAGTGGTAGCCATTTTCCTTCATTCTGTTTAAGCATCTTATGGATTCAATATACACATTAAAAATGTCTGCACTTTATGTGTGTGTATGTGTGTATGGCTTACTATCATGTTATTATGGTTTATATATTATATATAATATATAGTTATTAGATATTAGGTTGTTATATTGTTATAATATGTATTATACATAACATATTGTTTATATATATACACACGCACGCATATACTCTCATAGATATATCAAATGGGGTGAAGGTATAGCTCAGTGGTAGAACACTTTGTCTAGCATGTGCAAGGTCCTGAGTTTGGTCCCCAGCACCTCCAATAAAATAAAGTTGCAAACATAATAAAAATTTAGTTGCAATAATGCTTGTACTTTGAGGCAGTTTTAAGGCAATTTAAAAAAAAAATCTATCATGAATAACAGTTACTGCGGATAAAATCAATATGATAATCAATATGAGGCATTAACATTAACAGCCTTACAAATATTTGAAGTTTTAAACATAAACTCCCTTATGTCTGAGTCTAATTTATCTGCTGTATAAACCAATACAATTAATTAGTCATTTGAACTCAACACATTCTGCCTGAGAACATGTTCTTAGTCCTGAGTTTTACTCAGTGACTAATCCACTTTGGCCTTCACACTGTTTATCCAACAAAGTTATCTGTCTTAGTTATGTAACTGCCTTACAAGTTTTTTATCCAGCTATAGATAATGAACACATGGCATTATCAATAGGCAGTAAAGAGGAAGACATATTATCTATAAGAACTTAGCAGAGAAAAATAATCAGTGTAAAACCATGTATTGTATTTAGATAGCTTCCATTCAGCTATTTTCAAGCATCTGTTGTGGCCCTTAGGATATAATATGCTTTCTATTTATAGGTCCATTTCCCAGCCCAACAATACATAATCTGTATGGACAAGGATCTCCTGTGTTAAACTTTAAATCCCAGGGATTAGCCCACAAGTTACAAACTACATCTAGTGAACACCACCACACACAAAAAGTTACATAATCACACACATTACGTTAAAAAAAAAAAACAAGTCACCAAAAAATAAAATTTATTTTTTATAAACAGGATTGAAAAAATACTAAAAGAAAAAATCATGGACTGGAGGCCACGCCATCTTACGAGGTGGAATAGGTACTGTACCTCCACACTGCGCCACTTCTTGCCTTTGTTAGAAAGAAGTCAAGGAGAAGATGTAGAAGATGACCACAGAGCAGAACTACTGAAACAGTTAGGAGACTACAGGGTAAGCACAAATGGCTTGTCAACTTACCCCGTGGATTCCCAATTTCATATCAGAAATTAACCCAATAATGGGTTTATAAAATCAAAATAGCTATATTGCTTCTCCAAGTACATATATAAAGTAGCATAGACTAAAATATGTAATTTAAAAGTTTTAAACCTCAGTAATTAAATAAGTAACAAAATGCCTCTGTAACATTACAAGGCCATATTTTTTTATAACAGGGATGTATGAAAAATACTTATGAAATACATCATGAATATTAAATAAAAACATCTGGCTAAATATTATAGTCAAATGTGCATAAAGGTGAAAATACTCTAGATCAGTTTTATAAAGGACATGATTTTACACTGATTACTTTTCCCTGCTAAGTTCTTATTAACAGATAATATGTGGGTCATTATGTCATTTGGACAGTTTTTCTGTTCAGCTATATGTTAATATAGAAAACAGGGAGGGAGTGCTTAATACCTGTTGTTGTCTATAGTATAGTATAGTATTATTATTCCTTTACTGCCAATTTATTGCCTATCTATAGCTGGATAACAAAACCTGTAAGGCAGTTACAAAACTAAGATAACTTTGTTGGGTAAACAGTGTGAAGGTCAAAGTGGATTAGTCACTGAGTAAAACTCAGGACTAAGGACAGGTTCTCAGGCAGAATGTGTTATTCGAACTTAACAAAATCTAAACAGGGTCAAACAGAAAATTTACTGGCTTAATTAAGTTAAACTTAACAGCTGTGAGGTCACACACCTGAAAATACCTGTACATGCTGTTCAGGGTGAGAGCATCTCTGTACCACTATTTCTAGCACGTTTCCCAAGGCTCACTTTGATCTCGTGCCCATTCCCCTAGATTAATCTTTGGGATGAGACTGAAGTGCACTGACTAACCTAGGTCTAGGAATTGCATGGATTACTATGCAAACTAGGAACAATTACCAAGAGGGAAAGGAATGGGCAAGAATGGGTGACTAACAGGTATCTTATACACTAATATACTATAAACAACAACAGGTATTAAGCACTCCCTCCCTGTTTTCTGTATTGTTAACATACAGCTGAACAGAAAAACTGTCCAAATGACATCATGACCCACAAAACTTACTGTATTAAGAAATACATGGGGGGAAAACACTGAAATCTTCAAACATCACTAACTACAAATGTTCTTGTTTGTCTTTTCTATCTCAGTTCTCTGGATTTCCCCTTCATATGCCCTATTCTGAAGTGAAGCCTTTAATTGAAGCTGTGTATAGCACTGGAGTACATAATATAGATGTTCCTAATGTTGAGTTTGCTTTAGCTGTATATATCCACCCATATCCCAAAAATGTTTTGTCTGTTTGGATCTACGTTGCCTCCCTTATACGCAACAGGTAATTTTTTCATTGAGAATTCTGCATCATGTAAAACTTATAATTAGCATATGAGAACATTTTTCATTACATTGATCATACCAGAGGAATAAAATATTATTTTCAAATAATGAAATAAACTTATTATCTGTGTAAAAATAAGCGTTTTCACTAGTAGTCTATTTTATCTCTACCACTGTGACCTTAAATTCAAATGAGATTACCCACAGGAGGGTACACTATGGTCTCATCCTGTGCTTTTTGTACTTGCTTATCTTCTGTTTGGAAAATGCTTCTCCTTTGTCTGTCCAACAGAATGTCAACCATATTTTTAAGACCCAGAAAAACAATACTTCACCACTTTTCTGGGGGAAGAAGTAACAACTATACACTATCAGTACTATCAGTATTTTTTAATGTTAAATACTCCATGTTACCCTTTAGAAGTACTGAGCAGGAACACACATGTACACATTTACACTCACTGAAACAAGACAGTACTGGGGGTAGGAGTAATATAAATATTCATTAAAAAGGTAGTTATTTAAAATAAAACGTACACTGGGGTTTAATGGTAGAGCACTTGCTTTAGCATGAGCAAGGTTCAGGGTTGGATGCCCAGCATCTCAAAACAAAGAACAAAACCCTCAGATATTGCTGTGGACTTGTGTGCACCCTGCTGCAATTCATGTTACGAACCCTAATCCATAAGGGAAGGGTATTTGGAGTGAAGTCTCTAGGAGATAATTGGGCATGAGGGCAGAGCCTTTATGATGGCTTTAGCGCTCTTTTTTAAAGAAGAGATGGGAAAGGGCTTGCTCTCTATCCTCTTTTTCTTCTTTCTCTCTGCCATGTGAAGATACAAAAAGATGACTTTCTACAATAAAAAAAAATTGTCCACAACAACATAGTATCTGCTTGGCCTCACAGATCTTGGAGGATCCCAGCCTCCAGAACTAAGAAATAAATGTATGTTGTGTGAGCCACCCAGTCCATAGTTTTCTGTTATACCAGCCAACATGAAGGCAAACACATTCATATAAAATTAATCCATTAAAAGAACTTAATGTTGCTGGAAACAAAATAGAAATACGTAAAGCAGGATTCTTGACAACAGCACTGACTTTCAGGGCCACGTAACCATTTGTTATAGAAGCTGTGACTGTAAGACATTATCAGTATCACTGGCCTCCACCTACCAGATGCCAGTTGGAGCCCTTCCCTCAGCCAAGTAATAATAAAAAAAAAAATCCTGAAATGGCCTCTACATCCTCTGAGACAAATGGCCTCCAGTTGAGAACTATTTATATAGCTCTCACTTTTAAAAAAATAAATAAATAAATCCATAAAGACAGAGGGGGACAAAGTTAAGGAACAACTTTCAACTTGGCTTTATCAGTGATCCTCTATCAAGCTGTACTGTAATTGTATGTTGACATAGCTTTGCTATCTCTAATATGAATTCTTCAGGGGACAGTTCCATGACTGACTATAACAGCTAACAATAAAACAATACAGAGACAGAATGGCATACCAGTAAAGAGCAGAAAGTATGGATAAACCCTAGTTCTGCCATTTGTTAGCTGGGTTCCTTGGGCAGGTTAGTTTACTTTCTCCATATGTAAGATGGGAATAATCACATTATCCACTCCACAGCATGTGTAAAGACTGCACAGGTTAGTGCACAAAGAGCACTTAGCACGCTGCCGGGCATTAAGCACCTACTAACTGTCAGGTGCCACAAGGTCCTTCACATAACTGTTGCATTTTCTTCTGAGATCACAAAATCTAAGACAAGTTTGAACCAAGTATACAGTGTTTCACCAAACATGAAATATCCACTTCAGTTAATAATGAAAAAACAGGATAATGTATAAAAATTAAATGCAGATTCAACTATGGGCCCATGCAACTGTGTGGGGAAGAAGTGGTAGAAAGAGTTAGATTTGATCAGAGAGTATGTTGACATATTGAAACCAGTTTGGCTCAAGATAACCAAAATGGTTTGTTAACATCACGCAGCATAAAACAAAGCAAAAATGAAGCATGTGAATTACTTAGAATCCCTGGGAAACTAGCAGCTCAAAGTTAATTAATTTATCAAAGATAACATTTAAGCCAAGTTCTGAAACATCATTTAACCATGACTTTTTCCCCATAAAGATTATCAAAAAATTTCCCTCAAAAATATTGTTGTCTGATTACACAAGAGATAAACCCGAGCCCTTCCTTGATGACTCAGGAGAATCCTTGCAGATATTCAATTTTATCATTCAACCTGTGTAAATATAGAAGATGAAGTATTGGGCAAGATGAGACTCACTCCAGAAGATTTCTCAGTTTGTCTTCTCAAAATAGTCCCTGATGCCAACTTTTCAAATAAACGTTATTAATACCCAGGGAAATAAAAATACAGTAACTACGAAACCATCAACCTTACAAAATAAAACTTTCCTTTGTGTTTCCTTCAAGTGTTAGTTGAATTAAAAAGCACCTGTAAATTCTTATTATACTCAACAGAAGACTTTTTTCTTCATCTTTAGACAGCACAAAGAGTTTTGTTTTTTTTTTTTTTTCTGAGTGTAAAGTGAAATCTGCCTTTCTGTAGTGTGTATTTGTCCTACTCCCAACTAAAAATGCCAAAGGCCACAAAGATCCTGACTATGATTACTTCTTTTCTTCTTCCCAGTTTTACTAAAAAAAAAAAAAAAAAAAAAAAAGTGGCATGGCACTCTTTTCTTCTTCATGACATAAAATTAAACAAGGATGACATAAAATGGACCTAATATATGCCTTTCTGAATGGTAGGTCTCACTTTCACAATCTTTTCACAAAAAGCAATTAAGATAAAAACAGATTCAAATTTTGACTACTGAATGACTCATTTCAAAAAGAAAATTCAAGTCAATAATACTCAGTGTCTATAAAATTGTCAGGATCATGAAACACAAAAGACAAAATATTTAATACTATATTTAATACTATTTTATACTAACATTAATCTGGATTGAGATCTAAAATAAAATCACAACACAAAAGATATTACTTGGTAAAATCCTCAAAGTAGATTTTATTTATACATTTCTTTAAACGATTGTGGAATTTTTAAAAATCCCTCCCAAATTTGACAATATATGGGCAGCAGTGGGAACCAGGGGTCTTGGAAGAAAGCAAATACAAATAGGCTGGTGCTCTTCTAGCTCACTGAGCTAACACCAAAAAGCCAATTTATTCTACAACCTTAAAGAATCTCCTATGTGGGTATATTTGAATTGGCCCTCGGATAATTGTTCAAATAAACAAAAATGTTACAGAAGAGAGATTCATTTCCAAAAAGTGTGGTCTTTGAAAATAAAATTTCAGAAATGTGTATCTGAAAAGATCTGCAGAGCTTAGTACAGTGTTTCTATGAAGCGATAACCCCAGTGACTTTAAAACTCAAAATAACCTAAAAAATACTTTAAATGGCATAGCATTAGTAACATTCTTTTCAAAGCATTCCATTTAAAAGAAATTAAATAAGACTGCTCTCGCCCTTATGAAAAAACCTAACCCCTTTCTAAAACAAAAATGTATTTTGCAAGAGAAACACTGTACAATTCACTGGTAAATTAAGATTTCTGAAGTTGTGATAAACGGGGCCAAAACAAGACACAATCAAAAGGGATGGTTAACACAAGAAATGTGCTATAAGTAAAGTGCATGAAAGGAAGCCTGCTCAGCTAAATGAAGTAGACAAAGGTCAGAAGTCAAGGGTCATTCGCCAGAGCGGCAGCAGGCTCGAAAACCACACTGCAAGTTCTGGCATCCACTGGCGGTGTCAGCATGAGGACCTGTATGAAAACAGAGAAATGTGAAAGGAGGAATTTCTTAGAGATCATATAATAGTTTTTCTTATGAAGTAGCTAAGAAGTTTGTTCTCCTAGCAGTACACTGATATCACAGAAGTAAATCTTATACAGAAAAATCTTATTCAGAAAAAAATTGCCAATAGCAACTTGACTTTTCTTTCATGGTCTAAAAGGCAAATTGGGGAAGGTAAAGAAATAATTCTTTGGCAACAATCTTACAAAATAAAAACCCAAGAAGAAAAGGAGACAATCTCTAGAAATAAAACTGCCAGGCTCATTTAAAGACATATTCTTATATTCTGAACATCTTTCCTAGAAATGTAATTAAGGCAAAAACAACCTCATCTTTATGTAAAAAGTCAGCTAAAGAATCCAGTATTGAGCAATGAGTATCATATTCCAAGTTTAAAACAAAATATACTAGAGAGACATAGACTTAATATGTTTTTCATATTTTTATTTAACATTTGTAGCAAGAAAAAAATCATGTTAGGATTAAATTATTTTCCAAAATTTGAGTATATAATGAGTAAACAAACACCTAAACATAATAAAAAACTGTGATTCACTTACAAAGAAGAGTAATAAAATATTTGTGGATAATTATCCCAGTCACACTATGATACCCAGACATTAGATAAAAGATCCATTAAGGAACCTAGCTGAGAATTAGAAAATAACAAAAAAGTTTCACAGCACATATTCAAATGTAAAGCACTCTGTATAAATGACAGGTTTCATAAAGGCAGGCAAATGTGGAAGAGTTATTTCAACTATATTGAAGTCTTTCAGGATGTCTGCACCATGAACAAAAAACAATTAATTAGTTCTTTATGTAGCCATTATGACAACCAAAATATTTATAATGATACTATAAAGATCAAAAAATGAAAAAAGTACATGAAATATAACTTTACATTGGAACATAGCAAATGGATTGTAAGTGAAAAATTATAAAATGCTGGAGTGATACCTAGCTTAACTTAGAAATGTATTCTTTAAATTTTATTTATTTTAGTTGTTGATGGACCTTTATTTTTCATTTATATGCAGTGCTGAGAATCAAGTCCAGTGCCTCACATACTCGAGGCAAGCACTCTACAACTGAGCTACAATCTCAGCCCCTAGAAATGTATTTTAAATTTGTACTGTTTTGTTTTCTTAAGTAGATTTC